CCGCTTCCAAACAGCTCAAGAGTGCGGCGCAGCACTCCCAAATGGCTCGTGAGCTCCGCGCAGGTCCTCAGGGTGCCTTTGAAGCAACTCGCGGGCGTTTTGCAAGCTACGATTGCAGGCCCTACGGCCTCCAGCCCTCAAAATCGGCAGACCCTCAAATGACAGAATTCTGACCGTAGCTATCACAGAGTGGGAGTTGACAATACCCTCCCCAGAGAGAGAGGGCCTTCACCACCCATCTTATCATCTGGCATCGAAGGTTCATATTCACTACCCTCAACATCGGCAAAAGGGTCATCCTCATCCGGAAATAGGGGCTCTTTCAACAGGAAACTCCAAGCTACGCTCAGGGACTCAGGAACCGCAGGGGTCAGGAGGCGGTGCCGGCAAATCCTTCGGCACATCAGCTATGGGCCTTCAGGGTCCCCTCTAGCAGCTGCTGGTTTGTGGAAGCAATGCGCGAGAGCGTTCGGATGCATAACTTGTTTCATGTATCTAAAGAACAGAGCACGCCTTTGGAACGATTTGCGAGGCTCCCACTGTGCAGCCTGTGAAGAGCTGTGAGTTTGGGGTTGCAGGTTTTGGCACGAGCATCGAGGAAAGCGTTTGGTACGAACGATCTATGTGGGTCCTCATGATGCCAATGGCTCTGGAGTCCGGGTCTTTGTGCCGTTTGTTGATGGCAAGGCCCCACGGTTGGAAGTTTTCAGTTCCTTTAGACCTTGAGATTGGGGTTCAGAATGCTGCTTAGACGGCATCTGGAACGACTACAACAGCCGAGCAAGCCCCTGCGAGCTCCTCGAATGATCCGTCGGGTCCTGCCCCAATGGACGTTGACGCTGGGATTCGTTTCAAGGGCTGAGAACTACATCTCTTCGTTACCTCGGCTGAACTTTGCCTCCATGACCGCGAGGCATGCTGAGACACGGGTGTGGTCGGCCTACAGAGACGAACTTACCAGTCGGTTGTGTTTTCTGACTTTGAGGCTGAGAGCGGTCTCTGTTGAGCAGAGCAAGTCAGGGAGCAAGCGCTGGATACGAATTCTGGCGCAGGCTCAACAAGCAGCTCTCAGTGCGTTCCAGAATGGAAGGACAAGCTTTGAGAGAACAGGCTCTTAATTTGCATCCGCCCAAGTTCCTGAAGCGTCCCCTTGACGTGATGAGGTGGTACATGACAGAGATTATGAAGTTTGAGAGCCAGGTTACTCCTCGAAGTTTCCCGAGCATAAGATCCATGAGCAGGAAGCAGTTCTGGGAGTTCTGAAGCACCTTAACGAGGATGCCAAGCGGTACCTCTTGTTGCATCAGACCACGAGCGGTCTGGATGCCATGCTTCGAGGACTCCAGTTCTANNAGAAGAAGCACCAGAACGGTGGCTACTCCTAGAGGTCCCTAGGAAACTAACGCTTTCTGAGCCTGCCGGAATTGCACCACCATTGGAAACAAAGGACGAAGTTTTCTCATTACATTCTTGACATTGAAGTCTGGGGCCAATCTCGTCATGCTATGCAACGTGCACTGGTTCCACTTTCCGGACAGGTGGTTTTCCCGCGGTTTTCCACCTGCTTCCTGCCGTTTCTTCTGGTTTTCCATACGGCTATCTGTCCCAAGGTAAAGATGCGAGGAAGGAGAGATAGCGGTGCTGCATGAGGTTCAGATTCTGTTGCGTTTCCCATAAGCCGGCTTCTGGATCCGGAAATTGTCAGGATTTTGACTGTTGTGTAGGGCCTCCAGAGTAGTGCGCGAAGTGCTGCCCGAACTCGTGCCTGACCGCGATCTCTTCATTTTGCTCATTTTCTTTGCTGCTGTTTGTCTCAGAGTCTGCAGCAGATCCAGTTGCTCAAGCCTGTAGTCGCTGTAGTTGTTGCTGTGCAGAAAAAAGAGAAGTTTTCGCAACACTTGTTTGCGGCCGTCGGCCGATTGGGCCGTGTCTGACTCTGGACACGTCCAATCGCTGGACGGCCGCAGCTGCAGTGCTTTCCACGGGCCCACTTCCAGGTCCGGAAATTCGATGACTTCTGTCAGAGGTCTCCAGAGTTCCGCTGCTGCAATTGGCAAGAAACATGCCGTTGTTTGATTGTTTGCAAGTGACCTACAAATCCCACCAGTGTGCCCACAGTAGGTTGACTTCCAGCTTTGGAACCTTTTGCAAATCTTTTTGAGGCGATCAAACCGCAAAGGTGGAAAAACCATCCAACAGAAGTTCTGCGGTCACGTTTCGGTAATGCTTTTGAGTTGCAACACATGCGACAACTGTTTGTGACTTTTCGAACGGTCATCGTGTTTGCTCGAACCGGTTTTTATATCTCCAGCTTTCGGTGGAAGTTCGTGATGGTTTTGCCCTTTAGTTGTGCAGTGCGCCACATGTTTGCACTTTGTTTCCCTCCTTCCACTCTTCTTGTTTGTAGTTTTGCACCGCTTCACGAATGACAAAGCGAATTTCTGCAGAAGCATGATCAGTGGCGATGTGGCCAAACGGGTCATTTCTGCCGCACCATACGTCGTTGGTGCTTCAGAGGTGCTACGTGCCCCTGTTTGGGGCATACCTTTCGTGTATCCAGTGTGTGATGCGATTCCTGCTGTATCCAGGTTTCTCCCAGTCAGTCCAAGCTTTGTTTCTCCGACGGAGGCATTTTTCATGTCCTCGCTGTTGCGGCATTTAATGATCTGTCAAATCAATTTATGAGAGTGCTAGAGTCTGTGTTGTTGTGATGCTTTTGCGAACAACATACTTGTCTTGATTCGTGCAAAAATGTCGCCGAGGGATTTGGGTGTTGGTTTTGTACATCTTGCTGTTTTCGGAAAGCCAGCCTGGACTCCAACCTCATCCCTGAAACCCGTTCGATTGGCACCGTCTTACGGCATCGCTTGCTCTTATCTTATGCTGCCGATAGACCTCGAGCTTGCCACCTGCTAGATCCGGCAAACGTAGAATTATTTGGGTTCTTGTGCTCAGCCGAGACATGCAAGGTTTTCGTGCCGGTACCTTGGTAGAGGGCTCTGGGTCAGGGGGTTCATGTAGACGGACTCCAAACGGCTAAGCTTGACCCGAAGGGTCGATTTCATGGAAGATGGCGAACATGGTGACACGTGGCCTCAAGGAGATGGTTCATCCTTGTCCGAGGGCCCTGAAGACTCGATATCGAATGTCCCGGACGCCAACCCTTTCATTGAGAGCTGGATCCAAGTCCTGATGCAGATGCGAATTACCAGGCCCCAGGTTCAGCGGGGGCTCCCAGTTTATCGAGCCTTGCAGCAAGTACCCCGAAAGTGGGCGCGCAAAGAGCTTGACAAGATCCATGCTCTGACCCGGACCACCTCGCAGTTTCATGAGTTCTGGTCCCACAGCTGGCGCACCAAGGCATGGTTGAAGTATATCAATATCTTATTCTTGAACAACAGCTTTCCTGCCTTCGTCATGGGCACGATCTTGGCCCTCGCAGCATTCTTCTTGAGCTTCACAGGGCTCTTGCCGGTTTGGGCAGGGAGCAACACGGGATACATTTGGTGCACTCCTGCTGGAATCTTCGGCTACTATCTGACCTTGCTGCTCTGGAGGTCAAGGAAGTTGGCGTTTCTTGATATCGCCTGCATAAATCAGCAGGATGCCCTAATGAAGGCGGAGGCCCTTGTCAGCATGGGCGCTTTTTTGAAGGAGTCCCAGTCATTTTTGGTTTTCTGGGATGCCTCCTATGTCACAAGCTTACTTTCTTTTCCAAGGTCAATATGCTTTACAACTCGTTGCACCTTTGTGCTGTTTGTTGAGAGGGTCCGAGTCCGTAGCCTCGCCTCGCGGTTGTTCCAAGCGGTTCTTAAAGCGGCCCTTGCCCGAGGCTGTGGTGCGTCTTCGAGCTCGGAGCGTTTCTTCACTGCAAAGGGGCCAAGGCCAAGTCTGCGAAGTGCCTTCAGGTCTGCCCGGTTTTTGTCGGCCCGGCTTTTTTGGCCGGTCATCTTGGCTTCAGTCTGCTCTGGATCTACAGAGAAGTTCGAGTCTATGGTGCGAGGTCAGGTTCTGCAAGTTCTGGTCCATCAACTTGCAAATCACGTCTTCTCGTACTGGCGCATCGTTCAGATCACAGCACCTGCTGGTTGGGCCATACTTGATGTTTGGTGCGACAATTTCAAACGTGGTAGCATCAGTGTGGATAAAGTTCCAGGCATTCCGACTCCGCTGGAGGTGCTGAACATGGTCTACAGCATCATCTTCTTCAACTTCATGCTGCTGCCCATCATGGCTTTGATTCTGCTTAGATTGGCCTACGCAGCACGTCATGTAGGAGAAAGACGGTGCATGCAGATACTCCTCTCCCTGGGGCTCGTGAAGGTAGGGGGATTGCTTGCCGGCGTATGTGTAGTGCTGGAACAGATCACTGCCGACCTCCTGGGCGGGCGAGAAGAGAGCCCTGTGTATGCGATCGTCATTCTGTCTGCCATGGGTTTGCTCACCCTTTTCTTCTGGCGATGTCCTGCGATCGTGTCAGTTCCACTTGTCAGCCGTCGAGTTGGCCACTGCTCAGACATCAGTCCCTGAGTGCCAGGCCTGTGATTATCGATTCTGCGGCAGGGACCTCGACCCCGGAAGGATCCAAAGGATTCCACGGGAGTTGTGGCTTGAAGTGAAACCGCGGGCTCCGTCCAACGATCAGTCAGGACGAGCTCTGTGGTCAGATTATCCTGCGATGTTCATGTATCCCATCTGTCATGCAGATGTCTGTATGAATGAATGTATGAATGAATGTGTGTATGTCTGCATATATATATATATATGCACACCGTAGATATCTCGAGGTTCAATTCAGGTATGCACCCTGGGTTCGAAGGAGTCCGACTGTCATGGTTTTTCAGGCCAACGTATATACTCGGACGTGTGGACTGTTTTAATCGGCCGGACAAGGTCCAAGGATTTAGATTGTGATGTGCCCCTCCGAATGGAGATGGTTTCAGCGCGACATTGCCGATTCTACACTGCTACGATGAATTGTGCTTACGGTTTCGGCCTGAACATGTTTCTTGGTATGAGTTTCTCGGCACGTCAGGCGCTGGAGGAGAGTCTGTTGACTTCAAATGTTTGATAATGCGACTATGCGAGCGGTCGGACGAAATGGACATTGTTGATCCTTTCTGCCCCTGAGTGAGCGTGTCGCAGAGGATTCAGGAATCAAGCAGACCGTCGCACGGTCTCGCCATTCGCACGATGCATATTTTTTAGCATTGGTTCCAGATGCCGAGCTGTAGTGTCCCGGGAGCTGATGTCGGCAGTTCCCGCAGTTCCCCATTTGGCCTTGTGTGTGGGGATCAGCGAGTACACTGATCCAAACTTGCGAGCTTTGCCGAACGCCAAGACTCCTGGCTGAAGTCTGTCGAGCTTTGCCACGTCAGCTGTGACTGCAAGTATAGTCACTTTTGCCGTGCAAGGAGAGATGCTGAGAACTTGAAGATTAAGGTTGAGAGGAGGGGGTTGCTTTGAAAGGGCTCGTGCTTGAGCTGCTGTATCCTCTGAAGACCACACACTGGCACTGAGCGATGTTGTTGCATGCCCTGCCAGGCTAGGCTGCAACATGGTCCGACTGTTGACAGGCAGCATCAGCAGGCTGGGGCCGGGAAAAGCAACCGACAGAGCGGCAACCATGCTCAGCACATGTGCGTGGAGGGAAGTCTCGCGAGATGTGTTTTGCTTGTTCGGAGTCACAATGCGTGTCCTTTCCGGTTTTGAACACAGTAGTGGTCTGTTAGGGCTGGATGCGTGGTGTCCACAACCATATCTGATCTCGTCTTCACGGGATACGTGCATATGGGCCTATAGAGGCTAGTTAATTCAGTGCCTGGCTTCCAAAGCTCGAATCTCTTAGTGTCAGTAGCCATCGTTTCGGAGCCGGTGGAGTCAAGCTTTGGTCTGCCAGAAACTTCGAGCGTTATGCACAGGACGGAGCTGGAGACAGCCTTCGACGACTTTTTGAAGAAAGTGGAGGAAGTAATCGCTACGAGTTCGAACCCTTGGGACCCTTTGATGTTTCTCTATGTAGCCGCTCATGGCCGCCAGTTGGATGGCAAAGAGTTTCCATGTATTCTTGGATCGGATCATGGAGCAGGTGATGATGATTTGATAAGTTTGGATTCTGTTTGCGAGCGGATCAACGTTATTGGAAGCACAGGAAAAAAGTTCAAATTCGTACTCATCCCCGACGTGTGCCGTGAGAACCGTGAGCTTTCAACGTGGGCTCCTCCTTCGAGCTCGCCCATCCGCAGCTGGAACTTCAAGTCCTATGTAGACATTCAGGTTCTCTTCCCTTGCGACAGAGGCAGGCTTGCTCATGATGACGAATCACTGGGAGCTTGTTTGTGTCGCGAGATAGACACTCCTGGACGGGACACCTGCTGCAATTAATCATCCAGACCTGACAGTTTGCCCAGAATGGGATACACATCAAATGCTTTTTCTCATTCGTGTCAGGACTGGAACGACATTTCCCAAGAGGTTGCACGTAGGATGCACGACATCCATGGTGGAAGACAGAGGCCATCGATCTGGACTCGTGGCGACTTCAACAAAGTCAGAGAATCTAGGCTGACCGAAAATCGGTTGTCTCCTTCATTTGCCACAGGGCGTAATGTGCTGTTTTCAGCATCCATCATCCAAAGCTGCTTCACATCTGAGGAAGCTGATGGTATTATACCACCCTGTATTATGGATTTTTTCCTACATGTGGTGCTCTGGCTCGTCGTGGCAGATGTGAGTGTGACATCTGAGCTGAGCGCACACTCTGAAAGAAGGGTTTTTGCGATTTTTGTCAACAGTTCGCCAAACAACGTGAGACTGAGGTAGGATCTCTGGGTGGTTGTCTGGTCGTGCTGCCAGGACCAAGTTGGAGTAAAAGAGCACAGAACATTTCCCTGTTTCTTTGTATGACGTCTTCTTGCAACACTTAGGGCTTTGCTGCTCGATGACTGCAGGTTGCACCGACGTGTCACTGAAGCTGAGGTTGATATTCTTGATTTTCGTGGACAAACTTGATATCAAGTGCTCCGTGTGGTTGGGACCTCGCGGATCTCAATGTCCAGCACAGTCGTGCTTTTGCACTGACTGCGATCCATGCAATATGTTCGGCTACCGCAAGCTTGACTGGTCAAGATTTGGATGCCGGCTTGGTGGAATTCCTTTGAATCGTTGCAGGATTGCTTTGGGCATCAACATGAGCTGGTTTGCATTGAATGCATTCCTGGCATGGAAGGCCAGGACGATTTGGCGTCAGTGTGCGTACTCACAAAGGGTCAGACTCACAACGTTGCGCATACTAGTCCTTCTGGTCTGTTCTATCAACATGATCAAGGCATTCACCCTGAGTTGGCCGCCATTTATTGCCTCCTTGCTGTACCTGTTCATGGACACTTTCATGCTTTCGTCGTCAGTATTGGTTTTTCTGACCATCCTGGCACTCTATGGTGCAGCAACCCAAACTTACGCAGGCACTGTACCTCGGCCACCTGAATGCGAGTTTCTGTTCGCAAAATCGAGAATCGTGTTATACCCTGTCGAACTTTAGAGCATGGGATTCTATCTTGCCCATTCTATCTTGCCCCAAGGCATTCATATTGCACAAATCCATTGGGCGCTCATTCATGCTTATGGCCTTTGTCGGGGAGCCATCGGTGGCATTCTATCATTGGTGTGCAGGGAAGTCAGGCGAATCGATCGATCAGTCCCTCAAGTTCTATGGCCTGTATGTCTACCTTGGCACCGTCTTTGCTGGCTGCAGTTGGTATATGTCCAGATCCCTACAGAGAGGAGGAGTGCACAACAGATACAAGGAGATCCACTCTGTGATGTTTCGTTTCCTGCTGCTGAAGATAATCTGGAGTGTTAGCCTTGCAGGGCACCACGTGCTGGCATGTTCGACCGTGCATGATTTTGCAGCCCAAATAAACCTTTTTGCAGTTATTGTCCAACGACTGTGCTCTTGGGCGACCCTGCTCTGTCTACAGAAATTTGCAGATGCATACTGCAACCTGCAGCTGCAGCTTGGAAGCTGATGCTAAAAGTCAAGTGTCGGCTTATTGCATCAACCAATTCGTAGCTTTGTTGGTCTGCTGTTTAGGCAGCCCTGAGCAGGGAAGTCGGAGTGCCATCTAACAATGAGGCAAGCAGTTTTTCCAAAGACGAGATTGGGCACTCATAAGTGCATCATAGAAATTTCACAGAGGTGCTTCGTCGTGTTTAAGCAGGCGATCACCGTTTCCACTTCCCTTGCATCTTCCATGCAAAGATCGGCAATATTGGCCGTGTGCTGCCTGAGCCCGTGCTCGCGCAGCGACTCTTAGGGAGAGTGGCGGGACTTGGATAATTCCACTCGACCACTCGAGGAGGGTGGCTCAGTTTCAGGAGTTGCCCTTCGCGTTTCAGCTGTATCGATTATTGGTCAAGACATACTGGATCATCGCAAACACGCAGACTTTCATGCGTGTCATCCTTCAGTCGATGACCGAAACTGCGACGAGAGAGAAAACGAAACTGCTTCTGACCCATAGCAGGGAGGTATTTTTCTGTGTTTGTTTATTGAGCGAGCGAGGGCACGGCAGGATCCAGAGTTCCCTGATTGCTTGGCAATGACACGGATTGGCTCAAACTTGACCTGTCATCTGTGTTCTCCAGCGCCGCCTTAGTGTTCCCTCAGTGCTCAGGCAAGTGCTTTGTTCTGCTTGCCAGCGTTTAATGAGTTTAATGGGCTTCGCATAGCTCCGGGCTGCGGCGACTACCGCCCCAGTGCTCGAGAGACGAGGGGGGTCTAATGACGATTAAGCAGTCCTGGAAAACTGCTGGCAATTGTGTGGTGATGTCCGTTGATGGTGAGGATACTGTTGCTGGTAGTGTTGGTGATAGGGAAACGATGGCAATCTGCGGTCCTGGCAAGAACGAGTTGCATACCAGTCCTTGTAGCGATGGTGGCAGTGAAGATGGTGTCGCCATGTCCATAGGTTTTGGTACTGGATTCCCAGCAGTGTTGATGCTTACTTGTGTGGGCAATGCATGAGTAATAGGAATCGAGTTGCAGTGGCGCAGCACAGGGCTGGTGGTGGTGGAGGTGTTGCCGTTGTTGTGAATCATGGTTCCTGCGATGGAACGATGATGACAGTGATGGCAATGATGCACGCGTGGGCCAATGTTCTTCATGCCTACCTCAGCATTGTTCACAAATGGCAGGTTCATGCATCTAGGCTCGGGTCTGCCGCAGCGTGGAACGGCCTTGCGCCGACTGCTGACAGGCGTGGGGCTAGAATTTGCATGGTTGAGTGGCAACTTCATAAGAGGCACAGCCTGGCATGGGTACAGTTTTGGTCATCGATTTTCATGCTGGGGATGCTGTGGGCTCGTGCAGGCTTGTGTGGAGTCCTCCTGGTGACCGCTGGCAAGCCAACGGTCATGGCAGTCGTGGGAGCACGAGCTGCCGCAGCAAAGCCGTTGAAGCGTCCTGATCTCAAACCTGGCCTGGATGTCGATGTATTCAAGGCGTGCTACTGGGAGGTGATGCTTGGACAGCTTCAGTTTGCTGAGTGTCAGACAGACCATGTAGGGGGATGTGCCGGTCCATGAGATTTCCTCCAAGGAAGGAGCTGGCTGCTTTTTGCAGAGAGCACGGGCTTTCGACAAGTGGTGTCAAGGCTGACGTGACCCAGCGAGTGGAGACGTATCTGCGCACAGGGAAGCGTGCCACAGAGCCGGATGTGAAAAGTTCATCGCATCTGACTGGGGCTCGGGACAGTGCTCTTCCAGGTGGCCTCAAGCTCACGACTCCTGTGTGCAACTATAAGAACGATGCCGCTACTCGAGCCTTCTTCCAACAGCATTGTGGTGCTGGTTTCCGTTTCAATGAGTACCTTCGCGGCTTTGCTAAGGGTGTGCCGGAGGGACAGGACCTCACCTACGGTGACTTGGTGCAAGGCTGGAAAGAAGCTGAGGGAGAGAGGAAGGAAGGGAAGACAGCTATCGGCAAGCAGTTTGAGTATAACCAGTTTACGCGAGATTTCTTTGCAGCCAACGCCGGTGGAAGCCGCGAGGAGATGATGGAGGCTTGGAGGGCTGTCAGGAGCTATCAGGGCCCCAACACGTACGAGGAATTCAAGAAGCTGACGGCCGAGTGAGATGCTTCCGAGGCTGGTACCAGTAGAAGGTATTTTAGGTAGCAAGGCCCAGGCTGCCACTCTCCGATCGGGCTGCGAAGTGCAACAAGGCTGCAGTGAGCAACCAAACTCCGCAGGTTTCGCGTAGCTCATGACTAGGACAGCAGCCGATCCCTGGTGGAAGCGCCTCTGGCCGTATCTTGGTTCAAGCCTACCGGCGAAGAGTGGGTCGCCGGTGGGGAAGCGGCAGGGACCGTAGAAACAGGTACGTCAAGTCACTGTGCGAGCCACAGAACGGTATAAAGCTCGCGGACGAGCTCAATTATTGGAAAGTGAAGAGAGGCTGTCTGCCATGGATGCAGCTCGGTCGCAGTCTACGGCCTCTGAGAGCCTAGGAGATTCAGGTTGCAGCAGTAGAGGCTTTCGTTTGTGTGAGGTGGCATTTCTATTCAGTCCATGGAAATCATTTCGTGGCGGAGATTGGCCAGAGTTGACGAAGGCTGCCTGTCTCGGTTCATGCTGGGAGATCCTTTGCCGGGTTGTGTAACGTTCGTCCAGATGGCGGTGCCATAGCGAATCTGTAAGCGAGTCGTCGATCGCTCAGGATGGATCTTTGTTTGACAAAGCACTTCGCGACTGCCATGCCTCTTTCTCACAGCGTTTCGAGCCAGTCAGCATCGACGTCTTTCGCGAGGCCGTGCTGGAGCCAGGGGAGAAGCTCAGTACCGGAGGCCTTGTCGAGGAGTTTGTGCTGCAATACGCGCTTGCCAAGTTCTTGGAAGCGAAAATTAAGCCCGGCGCGGTGCTCGGCCATGGTGGTGGCGAGCTGGTGGCCGGTGTGATTTCCGGTGCGGTGTCATTGAAAAAGGCGATCGGAATTTGCCACGTCCGGTCGGAGGCATTGAAAGCTACGGCAGTGGGTGGATGCATGGCGCATGTGAGTGTGCCTTTTGCAGATGTGACCCGCTACTTGAAAGATCTTCCGACGGCCTCAAGGGTGGTCGTTGCAGAAGCCAACAGCCCATTCGACACCGTCATCAGTGGTCCTCAAGCTGAGGTTGAAAAGGCTTGCAGTTCTTTAAGCACAGGCGAGAGAGGCCAAGGCGATCTTGAGATGGATGAGACGCAAGCCCGATACAACTACGTGGATGTTCCCTATGCGATGCATTCCAGCCTTGTGGCTCATGCTTCTTGCCCGTCGTTGGCCAACAAGTCTTCGATGCTTCTAGTGCTGTATCAACACTTCCGGGACATGCACAGTTGGCTCATCTTGAGCTGAGGTCAAGGAGGCTGTGAACATCGAAGCGCAAGAGTCGGCGAGGTGCGACTATGGCACTCCCGGGTGCTGCGTGGTATCATCCTTCACGGGTAGGCAGGTAGTCGAGGAGCTGCGGGATCCGTTGCACTGGAGCGGCCTCGACGATTCAAGACCCATTCAGCGTCTTTTCCGCAAGTGTTGTCCGAACGACTCATGCCCCTGTGACTTTTGTGAGAGCCGCACGCTATGGCGCAGGTTTCTTGCAGCAATGCAAAAGCTGCGAGAGCTGGGCTTCAAGAAGTTTCTGGAGATCGGTTCCACAACGGAAAATCTCCTCCGGCTTGGTCGTCGCTGTGTGGATGACCCCGCACAGTGCACATGGGTCTTAGCCCTTGACACGAATCATTCCGCATCTATTCTCGAGGCTGTGGAGCAGCAGATTATGGAAGGTAAGCAGCAGATGACCCTCACTTCACTGTCTCTTCCGAGCAGTGAGACGGTGGGAAGTTCTTCCGGAATCTCGGGCCGAAGTGTCCTGGTGGGTAGAGGACGCAAGCGGAACTCTGCCCGTTCGTAAGGGTTTAGATCCTGTGTGTACGTGTGTACGTGTGCGCTCGTCTGCGCTCGTGTGCCCCGTTGATTTCAGCGGGACAGTTTCGAGTCTGAGCATGTCCGGGCTAAGAATGTGTTCAAATTTCCAAACTCCAGACGGTGCCTGCAGGAGAAAGCGTGGCAGTCGAGTCACGGCCGCGCCTATCTGGTGGAGCCACTGCCGAGTGGGCAGGAGATGCAGATGCAGGCGAGTGGTGGTTGGCTAGCGGGACAGATCTAGGAGTAGACAGTAGAAGTCCTTTGCTTTCGTTGCCCGATTTTGGGCACAAGAACCAGACAGATGCAATTGCACCAAGTTTTGTTGATGCCGTGCAGCGAAGGTGAAAGCAGCAGGTGGGCTGCCATCGGAAAGGGCGAAGAATTCCCCACAACACCACTGCAGAAAGCATATTTTGATGGCATGTACTTCGATCCAGCGCATCAGATCACTCCCAACTTCTTCTTCAAAGCCACTTTCAGAAAGGATCTCGACTTGCAGAAGCTAGAGATTTGCATCAAGGAGCTTGCCCGGCGGCATGAAGCAGTGCGTGTTTGCATCAGCCAGGATGGCGGACAACAGTCCGTTAATCCCGAGAGCTGTTTCGATGATTGGAGTCTCCATGTGCAAAATGCCGACGACGAATCGGCATGCCATGCCATTTTCCAGCAGGTTTGTCAAGAGCGCATTCAAGATTTCTGGACAACTCGCTTGAAAAGGTGGGTTTGGGACGTCCAGGCTGCCCGGCTGCCTTCGAAAGAGGTCATTCTCTTCTTCCGCTTCAGCTTCATGGCGGTGGATGCTAGCAGCATCCGCTACCTCATGATGGAACTAGATGGCCTCTATGGCGATGTTCGCCTTCCAGCTGCGCGTTTCCAGCTCGCCGAGAGTATGGCTGACATGAATCGCACGATGGGATCGATGTCAGAATCTTGGTCAGCAAAAGCTCGGAATCTTCCCGGACCTCCGAAGCTGCCCAGAAGGCGTGGTGGCTCTGGTGCCCCGAAGTTCACAAGGTTCTGGCGCACTTTGAGCTGCCAAGGCTGGAAGTCTTTTCAGGATCTCTGCTCTCGCTTGGAAATTTCCAGAACCAACGCCATCGTGTGCTGCTTTCAAGACATCCTCCGCAATCATCTGGGAAGCGGTGAGAACGTGGATTTCACATTGAACCTGACGCTCAATGATCGGGCGAGGCTGACAGAGCTCAACTTCAATGGGGATGCGGAGTCCCTGGTTGGCGACTTCACGAACTGCTTCCTCCTCGCGTGCAGAGATGGAGGGGGCACATTTCTGCAGCGGGCTCTTGCCCTGAAGCAGCAGATCGATGCTGCAAAGAAGGAACCTGTCTGTGGAGTCGCGTTGCAGCAAGAGTTTCGTCGCTGTCAAGGCCGTGGGGAGCTCTTTGACGTGGTGGTGACATCACTGCTGAAGTACGAAGCCTGGTGGCCGAAGCACCTCCCTTTGTTGCAGATGGACGATGTGAGGTCTCAGACCCCGCAGGTGGTCCTGGACTTGCAGTTCTTTGAGAACACCCATGGCAAGCTGCAGCTATCCATCGATGCAGACGTCCAGACTCTACCAGAAAGTTTGGTGGAAGAGCTTATGGAAGAGTTTTTTCAGCACCTTTCAGTGGTATCACGTCAAGACGCAAATACTCTGAAAGGCCGAGACGCAGCCGCCATGCTTCTTCCAAAGAGCCCTCGAAATGGGTACGACAGCTTCCACGGCTCCTCGAGTCGACCTCGTCGCATAGACCAGCTGCTGCTGGAATCCCTGAGGAAGAACAGCGAGCGAGCAGGTGCAGTGAAGGAAACGGTGCAACCCGGAAGAGTGCTGAGTTACGATGAACTCGGCCGACACTCGTTTGTTTGTGCAAAGATACTTCGCGAACGCGGGCTAGCTCGGGACCAGCTTGTCGGCATCGTGATGTGCAAGGGCTGGGAGCAAATTGTGGCAGCGTTGGCCTCATTTGCTCTGCACATGTTGTGCATTCGGTTGGAACTTATTGCCCTGTAAAGTCAGTGCGGGATGCGAGGCTTCATGTTCGGATCTTGTGGTGGTGAGTACTAGATTACTAGATCCCATTGCTGCTGCAGGTCTGTGCCATCTTTTTCGCTGGCGGAGCCTACCTCCCGCTGAATCCGTCTGATCCGACAGAGTATCGGCAAGGCATGCTGACGCAGGCTGCTGTTAAATTTGTCTTGACGCAGCCTCAACTAGCACCTCAGCTCGCGCCATCCCTGGACGAGGGGAACGTATGCTTGCTGGAAGTCCACGCTTCCCACATCGAGGATGTGAATGCGAAGTCCTGGCAAGAGTCCTTGCAGTCCATGCTCGTGGGGGATGATGACGAAGGCGAGTGCCTGGCATACGTGATCTTCACGTCCGGATCCACAGGAAAGCCCAAAGGTGTCGAGATTCAGCATCGGGCCGTGCTGAATACCTGCTGGGAGATGAATGCGCTGCTTCAGGTGACACCCGATGACGTCTTTTACGGGCTCAGTTCCCTGACTTTTGACTTGTCCGTCTATGACATTATCGGCTCACTTTCTGCCGGTGCTCAGCTTCTTCTTTGTGGGCCAGATGACATGACCAACCCTCATCCTTGGAAGCAAGCCTTGAACGAGAAGGGCGTTACAATCTGGAATTCGGTGCCCTCGTCCTTCGACAACCTCTTGGCTTACTGTGGTGGCAGTGAGCTGCGGTGGCCACGGGTCGCTCTCCTCAGCGGGGATCGAATTCCACCGGAACTGGCCAGGAAAGCACACAACAAGTGTCGCTTGATATGCCTAGGCAAGAGGGTCTTAAGAACAATGGAATGTTTGCTGCACTGCAACTGCGGGCTCCCGGTGTCCCAGAATAGCACCCGCCTGGCCAGGTGGAGCGACAGAAGCTTCCATCTGGTCCAATATGCACGAAGTCAAGCACGAACCACCGGCAAATGAGACTTCTATCCCATATGGGCGTGCGCTGCCTCAACAGTTGCTTAAAGTCCTGGACCGGAATCTCGAGGAGGTTGCGTGCTGAGAATTGTCGGCCTGAGTCAAGGGCTTGCTTGTTACTGGTACGAGCGGCAGGCCAGGCGTGAGCTTTGCCAGTTATCCTGTAAGGTTCCGGACGGAGAGGATGGCGACATCTACATCGGGGGTCAGGGCCTGGCACGAGGCCACGCAAGTGATAAGCATGTAAGGGGGGGCCCATGGCAATGGACAAATGTCTTGCTGAAGTGTCGCATCTCCGACCGCTTGCCTGTACCCGGGAGGCTACCACAATGATGCGGCCAGGACGATGGAGCGTTTCATGAATTCAAGGCACGGGCGGTTGTACAAAACGGGTGACCGTGGCCGCTATCGTGCCGACGGCGAGATCGAGATCTTGGGTCGCGAAGACGATCCTCGGACGTGAACGGTGCAAGCAGCCTTTGATGTCGAGGCCTGAGGCATGCAGTGTCAGACATTTGCAGAACTCAGGATCAGATCAAGCACAGAGGATATCGGGTGGAGCTGAACCAGATTTGCTCGTGTGTTGAAGCTTTGCCGTGGGTGTTGCGTGCAGGGGCCGTGAAGTTCGAAGAAGGTCCGCTGGAGTGCTACGTGGAGTTACAGGAAGAGGACTGGGAGTCACTCAAGAAGCAGGAGGAAAGGCTTTCGACCTTGATGCTCACTGCCAAGGCCCGGGAGCTCTCATCGAAAGCTCTCCCTCCAATCTGTGACTCGCAGAAGTTGCTCTGGAACCGCCGTTCCTTTCGAGACTTTCAAGGCAAAATGCCCACCCGAGATCAGCTCATTGGCCAACTTCAGAGCAGCTGCTGGCCGTGGTCTTTCAAGAGATCGAGCGGCTTGTGCAAAGATCCGGTGGTCGAGACGGTCACCGAGCAGGACAAGGGGTTTCTCCTTGGACCACTTGCGGAACGAGAGCTCAATGGCCAGGTGCGGTATGCGTATGCATCTGCTGGTGCTGCTCGGGCAGTTAACGCATACTGGTTGGAGGAAGGACAAAGATCCCAGTACCTGCCATCTAGTCACGCTTTGGCAGAAGCTGAGCCGTGGTGCAATGCAACTGGTCCTGTGGGAATTCAGCTCGCCGCTGACTTGAATGCCGATGCCTTGAAAGCCTATGATGTGCAACATCGCAAGACGCAGCTAGTGTTGGAGATGGGGTTCATGGCAGCAGCTCTGGACCATGCAGCTGGTCAACGTGGTTGGACATGGAAGGTGGAAAGCTGGAGAGCCGACCCATGCTCCTGCATCTTGGTCTTGGTTCACTGCGAAGAAGCTCCTGACACTTCTGACCCCTCCGACATGAGCCTCCCGCCAGACGCATCCAACTCCATGATCGTCCACTTCCATTGTGCGGAACACTCTTTGGCTGCGGCCAGTGTGCGTGGGCAAGGCTTCTGCCTCGAGGCTAGGATGAGCTGACAATAGCCTCAACATGATGAGTTACTGACGTTGACCAGTTTTTTTGACGTGGGAGTAACGCATTGTCAGGATACTGGTGGCAGTATCTCTTGGTGGTCGATGCTTGTCGACCAACTCGACAAGGGTGAAGACAGACACAACCGTGTGTTGGTTGACCAGGCGAAGTGGCTTGGCTGGCACATTAAGATCTAACGAGCACGTGGTTATAGGGTCCTCATAAGTAGACCAGCCTGTCTCTGGGGCCATGCTCGATGTCAGTCTAGTCCATGTGAAGTGCGAGAGTGGAAGTTAAGTTGAGCTTAGTAAATCTCGTACACCTCTCATCTGAGGTGGGCCGTTCAGCTGGAGGCAGAAGCACAGGAATCCTTCCACGGCCTCTTCGCATTGGGGCACCTGGCACAGTCCATCACGATGATGGGGCCTCTGCACCCGGAGTTTGAGAGCTGGGGCTGGTGTCCGGTCTCGACCCCTGAGGATGGGATGCTCGGCTGTGCTCGTGCGAGGCAGGGCTTTGGGGCAGAAGCGAAGATAGAGCTCAGCTGACAACTTGGCCATATGCCGCCAGGGTTAACTGCTCTGATCCTGCAGGTTGGTGCTAGTTGGAGGGCCCTTGTCTCCGAAGCAGTGGCAGGAGCCTCAGCAATTCTGGTCGAAGCCGTTTGCGGAATTGCTGGTCTGGCGGCACGTCAAGAAGAGCCTTCCCGACTACATGTGGCCCGATAACGTGCGATTCCGAAAGCTGCCGCTGTCAGGAAATGGCAAGGTGGACCTGTCCCAACTCCGCAAGACGAGAGGTATGCAAGAATCTAGTGGAGGGGCTATGCGATCACAGCAAACCGAAGATCTCAATGTTGTGGAGAAGTGGCTTTGCTTGAAGCTCTGTGAGAGCTGCGGGTTTTCAGATGCGCAGGTTGGCGACAACTTCTTCCAGCAGGGAATGAACTCGCAGCAGGCTGAAAAGCTAGCCAGGGCAGCTTCTGACCACTTTCGAGTGACCCTCACAGCCAAAGACATCTATACGTACTACACCGTCCAAGAGCTTGCGCAGCAAATTGAGCGTCAAGCGCAAAGCCACCAAGCGCAAAGCCACCCCAGGACGCTTGAAGAGCACAGACCGTGCGAGAGAGCTTCCCTGCTTTCCATGATTCCATCAGGGCCTGGACTCCACCTCTTGGTCACCGGCATGGCTTTGACATCTTGCATGCCTTCTGTCACCTGCAAGTCTTTCTGGCGGTCAATGTGGATTGGGGCGGACCTCGTGTGCCATGCTCCAGAGCAGCGACTCTCCCTAGGCCGATTGGCCAGGGAGGCAGGCTTCATCGAGGACATCGAGAGCTTCGATGCGGTTCGTTTCGAACTTGGCAAAACGGAAGCGCTGCAGATGGTTCCGCAGCAGCGTCTACTGCTGCAGTGTGGTGAGGAGCTGCTCTGCCAGCAACGTGTCCTGGAAACAGCTGAAGCCCGGAACATCGCCGTGTTTGTTGGCATGATGGTCTATCCGGATGTGTGCAATCGCTCTCAAGACCTCTTGGCAGCTGCAGAGCCTTGCATTTCGGCGAACCGAATCTCACACGTGTTCAATCTGCGTGGTCCGTCGGAGATGGTGGATACAGCATGTGCATCGAGTCTCACTTCCCTGCATCGTGCGGCAGATCACTTGCAGACCTCGTCTGAGTCTCAACCTTGCGCAGTGGCCATGGGATGCAGTGTAATTTCTGATCATCGTACATTCTTGACCAAAGACGTCTCGACGCTGTTGTCTACGAAGGACAGGCATCGTAAAGCTAGGTCTCAGCCCTGGCTACGTGTTTCATTCAGGACAGATGCAAGACCTTCGATGCCTCTGCAGATGGCATCGCTCGAGGCCTGACTTGTAGGTTCTGTGTATGTAATCACGCAATGTGATGACTTGGCTGAGACCGCCGTCGGCTGTCGGATCTGTTGGTGCGTACATGTGACATGTGACTCAGAGCTTGTTGCTATCCTGTGTGCAGGTTGATCGCTTGTGTCGAATTGCCGGTTTTGTGAGACTTGCAGGTGAGAGCATCGGCGCTGTGTTTTGCAAACCCGGAGCTGTGGATGACCACGCTTTGGGAGCCTTGCTGGGAATTCGATCTTCCCATACGGGGAAAACAGCAATGTTGACGACACCGTCGAGTGATGCGGAAAGGCCGGAGATGTATGGTCTGATTGGCAAACACAGGCGTCACAAGTTTGCAGCAGTTCAGTACGGCAAAGCCTCGATGCTCTTAGACCCCGTCAGCGTGACATGATGCGCACTTCATTTGCAACCGCAGGTCGCTGGTTTGTGAAACGCTCGAGAGGGCCGGCATCAAAGCAGATCGCATCGATGCTTTGGAAGTTCACGGCACTGGCACAAAGATCGGTCCAGAGCTTATTTTTTTTCGGTAGTCGTTTGCTTGTCTCCGACACGGTTGATGTCAGAGTGCACTCATGTTCGGCTTTGTGAGTGTACGCCCCATGTAGGACCACGCCCACTTCGCGGACCGAGGTGACCAGATGGAGCTTGCGGCCATGAGGGCGGTGTTCCGCCGGAAGTCAGCAGAAGATGCAAAGGTCGGACCCGTTCTTGGGGCGCTAAAGACGCACATCGGACATTCAGAAGGAGCTGCAGGTATCATGTCTTGCATGAAGGTGCTGCTCAGCATGAAGAAGGCAGCTATGCCAATGAATCTCCATTTTCGGAGGCTCCCAGAAGAGTGTCCGGAGATGGACTGGGCACAGTATCCCGACAGTCCTCTTCTGCTCACACCCGCCGACCGTGTCGGCTTCATGCGCCCGTTGGTCTGTGGCGTCTCTGGATTCGGCTTCGGAGGTTCCCTATGTCATGTGATTTTGCAATCGTCTCCAGAACCAGCGCAGTGTTCTGCACGGTGCACAGCACAAGTCGGAAGTATCGAGAAGCTTCATGAAGCACATCCCCTGCTGGGCCAGCCTCTCATATCCAAAACTTTACCTTCTTTCTCGGTCTCGTCCCGGATAGATGTTCAGGAGGAGTACAGCATTCGTCTGCTTGAGCACCAGGTCATGGGTGTTTGCTTGATGCCTGCAGAGGCTTTCATGGAAATGATGTTGGCCGTGGGCCGGCTGCTGCGGACTTCTGCCTTGAGTCTTCGGGATGTGTGCTTCCACAGGCCGTTGATTGTCAGCAGGAGCAGTCCTACAGAGATTTGTACCAGGACACAGCAAAGTCCAACTGACAGTGCGTGCTATGAAGTTCGGATCAGTACTGACGGCCATGAACTTCCTGTGGCCAGTGGTCTTATCGTCGCAAGACCCGAAGCCCAGACATCTTCTGTTGAGAAGCCTTTCAATCAGAAAGATGAGGTCGTGGTGAAGTCACTGACAAGCAAGGAGATCTACGAACAATGGTCCGGATACGGAGTCAGCTACAGACTTATCGACAATGTCACAGTTTTTCAGAACCAGACAGCTCTTGCCCAACTTCATCAGCCAGCCGACTCTCTCTTTGACTTCAAACTTGCCGTGCCCACCGGTCTCTTGGATGCTGCCCTTCAGGTGCTCGCGAGCTCGCTGCTGTTGCAGTTGGGGCAATTTGAAATGCCAGGCTGGGTACCAGTCGAGATTGGCAGTTTGTCCCTGCAAGCGGTGTTGCTGCCGAAAGCATACCAGGCACGGGCTTGGTGGGGTGCAGAATTCCGGGCAGGATCAGGTCTTGTCGGCAATGTTGAACTGCTCCAAGACGGCCATGCTGTTGCTACGCTGCTGAACTGCCGCTTCCAGCGTGTCTCAGCAGCAGCTTTGAATCCGAGTTCTTCGGAGATCCAGACGCTTGTGCCCAAGTGGGAGCCCGTGGTTACCGAATCCGACGACACAGACAGCAGGATTGCCAGGCTAACAATACATGCCATGCCAAATGCTGATGGAACCATCTCCAACATTCAGCTCTGCTTCGTGGACCATTGGACCAAGGACATTACCATTGACGAGCTGGACTGGAATCTCGGTGAAGCGGCCTATGAGTTGAAGAATCGCCAAGTGCTTGTCGAGTACATGGTTGATGCTTGTGCAGATCATGCGGAGGAGTCGGTGCCAATGGCAGCAGAGTCTGCATGCCGCAACCTACTTGACGTCGTGCAAGCAGTGAAAAAGTCTTCAAAGCTTCGAATCCACCAATTCCTTGTGATCACCGTCCGTGCCATTCCGATGGTTGACGATGTTGGCAACTCCAGCAGCATCAATCTGGGTCACAGTGTCCTGACCGGAATGTGCCGGTCGCTCCATTTTGAGATACCTGACTGGGACGTTCTTCATGTGGATGTCGACGAGCCACCTGCATCCTTTGCCCTAGCACGGGGTCTGCAGGAGCCAGTGCTGGTCCAGCGCGGGAAGGAGTTCTTTGGACTGCGATTGCAACCCTACACTCAGACCAGGCTGCCTTCTCGTTTGAACTGAACTGAGCTGCCAGTAAAGCATGCGATGTGCTCGGCATCGTGCCAGGAACGACGCGTTGACACGGAAGCAGCTCGGGCACATCTTGATCACTGGCGGCCTTGGAGGCTGACGATCAGGGGGTCTAGCTAGCGGTTTTGACTCCTCGGATTGGTGCTGAGCAAGATGCCGGGGGCGCCCGTGCTTTGCTGAGAGCGTAGCGTTTCGAACCAGTTCAAACCAATGTACTCGAGCCATTGTGAAGCAGACTGTGGCAGTTTGAGGATGTTGTGCCAGTGCTGTCGTCACCGTAGCTTTGCATGATCACGGCACTTGCAAGCATCGTGGTTCGCAGGACTCGGCCAGATGATGGCAGCCGCTTTGGTTCGCGAAGACGTGCAAGAGCTGACCCTGCTCGGAAGAGGAAAACATGAAATTCACGAGGAAGCGCTACAAGGCCGAGTGGGTAGGGGGTGCCCTCTGCAATGTCGGGGCCTAAAGGCCATGACGTGTCTCTGCTCGGTCAGGTGCAAAAGTGAAGATCGTGTACGCCGACGTTTGCAGCGACCTCAGGCAACCGCTCAGCGCTGTGAGCGCCTCTCTCACAGGCATCGTTCACGCTGCTGGAATAGTCTGTGACCAGAAGCTGATCGATGCGGATTGGGCGAGTTTCTCAAGCGTCCTGAAACCCAAAGTGCAGGGTGCCTTCAGCCTGCACAGATTTTCGCAGGAGTGTCCGTCGTTGTCTGACTTCATCCTGTTCTCGTCGAGTACAGCTCTCCTGGGCTCTCCTGGGCAGACCAACTATGCTGCTGCAAACAGCTTCCTGGATGCGGAGGCCTTCTACCGCAGGCAGAACGGCTTCTGTGGCCAAAGCTTGGCATGGACAGCGTGGGCGCAGGTTGGTATGGCTAAAGATGTTGATGTGCGTGCCGGCATGTCCAAGATCTTTCCGGCAGAAGGCACGCAGGCGTGTCTCAGGCTGCTGGCCCACGCTCAAGTGGACCCGAAGCCACATCTCTTGCTTGCGAAGGTGGACTGGAGCATGTTCCCTGGCATTGGACGAGAATGTTGTGGTATGCACATCGTCAGCACGGCATATTTTCACAGCTTTCTGCAGTGTCTTTTGGTACCCAAGGTATGTGCGATCATCAGCACCCTCTACAATTCATGTCCAGCACCTGGCATCTGATGCACTCAGCCTTCCCTCTTGCAACTGTGATCAAGTCCGGGAGTTGGAAGAATGGCTGGTTGAGATTCTGCAGCAATCACCTGATCCTTGGCTTGAAGTAGACGCTGAAATCCAGGCCGCATCCACACTTTGCACACTCTGTGATTTGAGGTTGTTGCTGCCGATCTCCCGTTTGAAGAGCTATGCTCCAGTGGGCTGTTTGACTTGGGACTCACCTCTCTGGATCTGGAAAGCTTTGCGGCAGATGTAACAAAGGCTTTGGGTGAGAGGTTCCCAGACACATATGCACTTTCCATCAGAGCAATGGACTTGTTCTCACTGCGAAGCATCTCCAAAGTTGCTGTTTTCGTGCAGTCCTGCTTATCGCAGGCTGTTCCGACTCCACAGTTTGGACTTGCATCGCCCAAGCTTCTGGAGCCACAAGCTGGCTCGGCCTTGTTGCCCGTTTGCGTTGCTGGGGCAGCCTGCCGCTACCCTGGTGATGTCAACTCTCTCGAACAGATGTGGGTGTTGCTCGAAAGCTGCAAATTCGGCCAGGATTGTGTCAGCAAGGTGCCTGCTGACAGGTGGGACCACGATGAGTATGATGGACGGATGCATACAGATCGTATTGCCCATGTCGGACGTCTTGATCTGTTCGATGCAGCTTACTTCAGAATTCCGCCAGACCAAGCTGCATTCTTGGATCCGCAGCTGATGATGGGCTTGGAAACTTGTGTGCATGCCGTTGAAGATGCTGGGGTGTCCAAGCTAAATGGAGATACTGCCGTGTATGTCGGATTGATGACTTCGGATCACTGGCTGTTGCTGGCAGATTCAGAGGATCACAAAGTCCCAGCAGGCAACTTGCCCGGGATGATCCCAGGCCATTTTAGCTACTACTTTGACATTCGTGGTGAGTCGCTCGCTGTCGAGTCTGCATGTTCCTCCGCTCTTGTTGCTGTCCACAAGGGCTGCCAGACAATCTGCAATCGTGGCTGTTCCCAGGCCTTGGCTTGGGCAGCCAATGCCATCCTAGCGCCAGCAGTCATGGTGCAGGCAGGCAAGCTGGGCATGCTCTCCAAGTCTGGTCACTGCAAGAGCTTCGACAAAGAAGCAGACGGGTATGTGCGCGGGGAAGGTTGCGGAGCCGTGGTTTTGTCTCACGACTCAGCCCATAGCCGTGGCAATTTGCTTGCAAGCTGGGTAAGCCAGAATGGCCGTGGCCATGCGCTAGTCGTGCCAAACCCGGTTGCACAGAAGGAGGTGATTGAGCAGGCATTGCGATCAGGTGCCATCCACCCTGAGCAGATCGGCTACATTGAGGCGCATGGAACAGGAACACAGAAGGGAGACCCTGTGGAGATCTCTGCCCTGAAGGGTGTTTTTGGAGCAAGGGCTGGCCCAGTCCTCTTGGGCACAGCCAAGACAACATTCGGCCATCTGGAAGCCGCAGCTGGCATGATCGGTCTGCATCGTGCACTGTGTTGCCTCCAGCATGAGGGCGTACCCAAGCACGTGCCCTGAATGGCAGAAGTGTTGCTTTTGTCTTGTGTCTTCTCTGTAGATTGTCAGCAAGCTCCAGCTGAGGTTTGGCTCAAAGGCTTGAGTGCGGCTGTGGACGAGCTGCTGGGACCTGATGGCAGCTGGCTTCAGATTGTCAAAGAGAAGGTGCAGTGGAAGTCAGAAGGCCGTCTGGCAGGAGTCAGCAGCTTTGGCCTGAGTGGGACCAATGCCCACGGCCTTGTCGGACTGGGGCCAAAGACCGCTACATCTCAAAGGCCAACGAAAAAACCGCTTCATCGTTTTGACCGGAAGGCGCATCCCAAGCCCGACGCTATCCGTCAGTTGATGATGCACCCAGAGGCTTGGTACGAGCGGACACTTCGGATGGCTGGTGGCTCTGCGTATTTGCTCGAGCACAAACTCAGCGCCGGTGCCGTCCTTCCCGCGGTTGTGCACCTTGAGAATTTCCTTCAGGTGTCCAAGGAGGCAGGTGTTTGGAAAGCTGTGTTGAAACCATACTTCTGATTGCGGGAGTTGAGACTGGCATGGAGGTCTTTTCCAACACTAGCCTGACAAAGAGGCAACGAACAAGACTCGCAGCCTGCATGGCAGCATGTGTTGGCAGGTACTTGCAAAGGATGCGAGGATGCAGGCCACACCTCTGAACCCGACAATCGTGGATCTGTCGATACGGAAGCCTCTCCGCCTGGAACCCGGGAAGCTCAGCCAGAGATGTCTGCATTCGTCGGCGATGCAAGTTTCGAATCATTGGTCTTGGTCCCCATCAGTACCGATCGGCAACTAAGGACAACCCACGAGCTGCACATCAATGCCCGTAAACGGCAAGATGGCAGCCTCGAGCTCCAAGCCTTTCGTGAGTCCGTCTTACTTTGTTCGGCAAGAGCAAGCTTTGCGGCAGCGTGGCGTGAGCAAGACGTTCCCACCCGCCCTAGAATGCCATTCGCATCGGGCTACCGACACATGACGGGCAGTCATATCTATGAGCATCTCACACAGGTTGGTCTCCACTATGAAGGAAGCTTCCAGGTGGTCTCGGATGCAGTCGTTGGCCCCAGCCGTGCTTGGGCCAGCCTTGTGGGCAATGCCCTGCGGCCCCTCACCATGCTGGATGGAGCTTTGCAGACCCTGGCGCTGGCGAAGTTTGCTTCGGAAGAGCATCCACGACCCTGTGTTCCCGTGAGGATCCGAGCTGTGAGGATTTTGGGATCCCTCACATCTCTGGGAGCCGATGTGCAACAGGCCTATGCTGTCTGGGATGCCGCAGCCCAGCATGTGTATTGCCTCAGCGGGACTGGTTCGGTCGTTGCCGTCTTGGAAGGTATCGTCACTCAGGACCTGCCCGATGGATGGGGAGGGGAGATGAAGTTCTTCAAAGAGAGCTGGGAGAAGACCGGTTCCGGGATGCTGGGACTGAGCCAATCCGAGCAGAATGACATGGTGGCATCTTCTCTGCAGACCTGGCCTCGGGATGTGCCCGGCCTGGTCGAAGCAGACCAGTCCCAGAAGCTCAACAGGCTGGCCGCCGCCTACATGGCCCAGATTCCGCCTGAGACCCAAAAGCACTTGCACCCTCGGCTGAAACAACGGCTTGACAGTCGGGCTCGCAGAGTCCTCCCACAGGAGCTGGAAGCCCTAAAGGCAGAAATCGGTGATTGCCCCGAGCTCCGCTTGCTCACGAAGTGTGGAGAACATCTGGGCCGACTGCACGGCAAGATATCTGATCCGCATGATGTCTTGTTTCCAGAGGCCAAGGCTGTTTATTCAGATGGTGCAAGTGCAAAGCGTGCAAATAGCAGGATTCGACATTGTTTCTCTTCTCTGCTGAGTGTGGCACCTCAGCGCTTGAAAGTAATTGAAATCGGTGCCGGAACAGGAGCTACCTCCAGAGCATTGCTAACGGCTCCAGAGTTCAAGCTTGCAAAGCCAGATTACTGGTTCACAGACATCTCCGACCACTTCTTCAAGCATGCCGAAGAAGACGAGGAGCTCAAGCTCAGCACATGTTTTCGCAAGCTGGACATCGCAAAGGATCCCTTGGACCAAGGCTTCCCGCCCACATTCAATGTCGTTGTCTGCACAAACGTCCTTCACGCTGTCGAGGACATTTCGCAGGCGCTGCTGAATGTCAGGCGACTATGCGTCCCAGGTGCGATGCTGCTCCTCTCGGAGACCACAGCTGATGACGACTGGTTGCATCTTACTTTCGGGCTCCTTCCAGGATGGTGGGCCTTCAAGGATTTGCGTCAAGACTCCCCATTGCTCGCTAGACAGCGGTGGGAGGAGCAGCTCGTCATTGCGGGCTTCGAAGTGCTGCTCTCCTGCGACGAAAAGCAGACAGTAATCGGTGCAAGAGCCTCCTTACCATTGCCGCGTTCCATGATGCCTGGGATGCCTGGTGGTGCCCCTCTGTGGCACATTTTCAGCTCAGAGAGGACGAGGGCCTTTGCGGATGCCTTCAAGCATGTGTTCCAGTGTGGGAACTTGGGCATCCTTCAGGAGGTCATCCTTCGCAAAGCCGACGCTGTCACTGACACAATGGGGGAAGCAAACCTTCAACGGTCGCGAGGGATTCTGTTCCTCTGGGGCATGGAGGACCCTTGGACTGGTTTCGCGGACACACTTTCCTGCTCAGTTGTATTTGATGTCGCCTTGTATTTTTTTTCCATGGGGTGTTGTAGTTTCCGAAGCGCATCCAAGGGTGCACGAGCCGATGAGATGCGGCCAGAGGACGTGCCCATTTACCATCGGTGTGCCAGCGGTCAATTGCTAAACATCTTGCAGCAGCTCCCACCGGAGGCTCCGCGCTTATGTCTGACTTTGCCAGTCATTGTATGACGAAGCCTACAGCCTGAGTAGAGCTTTCCAAAGCTTTGTCCTCCTCCTTGATTATATTTCTTGTCCCTTGTCTTAGTCTTGCTCTTGTTTTTTTTGATTTGTTCTTATGGGTGGTGGTGGTGTTGGTGATGGTGTTGCCGTTGTTTCCCACCTCCGTCCAGTAGCGTCCAGTAGGATGTTGACAAGCTAGCCAGGTGCAAGCTTTTCAAGGTTCTGTATCGGAGCCCCAGCCCTCCGCGAGCCGGTGCGTGGCATTCCCAAAAGTTGCACGATCTCCTCCACCCCGTCCGCTCGTGCGTACACTTTTTCAGACTCGCCGGCTGTGAAAAGAGGCCCAGGTACAAGATACACTTTCTGAGTCGCATTGCAGTTTCGGGGGAATCTGCGAAACTGTATGGCTCGTTCAAGCGCTGCAGTTGACATGACATCTACGACAAGCTGCATTGACAGTTGAAGCTCTACCCCGCGTGCTTCGCAACTCACAGGGCCAACGACCCGCAAGGCGATAGCAGTCTCTAAGGTACGAGAAACAGCTGACTACTCAAATGCAGCTTCCTTGAAGTCGTGCTGCCGCGTTGTCGACCATTCTACTGGGGGAATGTGTGCTTTGTGGGATCTCAGAACTTTGTGAAGGCTTGAAATGGACCTGTTTGCCGGGTGAATGTGCTAGGTATGGCCAACACCGAGTTTTCCAGTAGAGCTTCGGGCTTCAGACGGAACATTAAGAACGGGAGGTTGAGTCAGACTTGACGTTCAGGTGCAGGCGTGGGGATACGACTATGTTTCCAACTCATGTCGGTGAAATTCAGGCTCAAACTTTGCTAGGATCAGGAGGACTTGGAGCTGGCAGTGTTTGTGCAGTGTGGGTCTTCTTGATGCTGAAACTCGTCAGGCCAGCTTGGTGATTGCCACGACCGGTGCGGTCAATGCTCCCACGGATGCGGACAATGCTCAGCGCGCCATCTATTCTCATCAGGAGGGGCGGCAACAGAGCCTAGGGTCTAGGGCTTCGTCAAAGGGTACCCGAAACCTGCACTTTGCTTGACACTGGGGAACTAAGATTCTCCATTTTTCAGAGTTCAATGCTCCAGACCGAAGCAGGCAGCTTTGTGGGGCTTTGCCCGTGGGCTGGACCAAGAGCACCTTGGTGCAAGGTCGTACGAAACTTGCTGTGCAGAGTGCTGTCGCACATCTCCAGTTGTTCTGTGAAGCATGCATATTGGCATGTGACATTGCATGCCTCTGTGAGGCAACGCGGACAGCACCTTTGCTCAGTTTAAGGTTTGCAATCTGAGGGATCATCTTGAACTCGGTGTAGGTGGCCGGAAAGCCCGTTCACACCTCCGTGCTGCACGAAACATGCATACGTGCGAGTGAGTCAGCATGCCCTGATAAGGCTCCGACGCCATGTGTCAGTGCTGGATCTGGACCCTGACGTGGTTTTCTCCAGTGTCGAACATCTGTCGATGCAGCACTATGCAAGAGCTTCATTGGACCTGCTGTGTACACAGCACGACCGCCTGCAAGAAGTGGTGCTTCGCGGCAATCAGGTGCTCAGGAGCGCTTTGCATAGTATTCCCTTGGAGGAGACTCACGAGAGTTTCACACTCGAAGGAGAGCCTTGCCTGGTTGTTGGAGGTGCTGGCGGTGTTGGGAGGGAAGTTGTGCAGTTTCTTGCAAACAAGAAAGGCCTGATCACCGTCGTGGGACGAAGGCCCGAGGCACGACTAGGGGAGCCAGTGCTGCAAGCAACGTACAGGTGTGCCGACGTAAGCAACATCGCTTCGCTCCGAGGGGTAATAGATGCCATGGAAAAAGCGCCCAGTTGCATTTTTCAGCTGGCCGGTGTCCTGCATGACTCTGGTCTTTCGAGGCTGACCTGGGAAGGCTTCGAGCATGTCCTTAGACCCAAAGTGTATGGAACGCACAACTTACACATCGAAGCCAGCACGATGGGCACGAAAAGGTTTGTGCTATTTGGTTCCATGGCCGCGCTGTTTCCATTCCCCGGTCAGATCAATCATGCAGCAGGCAACGCTTTCCTGGATATGCTTGCGCATGAGCGCAAGACGCTTGGCAAATGTGCACAAGTTATCAACTGGGGGTTGTGGAGGGACGTCGGTTCTGGGATGGATGCTCGCAAGCGGGCTGAGCAGCAGGGAATGCGAGCTATGTCCAGCCGTGAGGCATTGCTATCCCTAGAACATGTCCTGATGAGCCCTTCCATTGTTCAGCTGGCGGTGTGTCCCACAAATTGGGCCCAGTTCGTAGCTCATCAGGGCTTGCTTGATCCCAGACTCCGTCACTTGCCGGGGCTCAGCGTGCACCCACGGCCCGCAGGGCCCGCAGGGCCCGTCGGGCGCGTGGCGTCGTGGCACAGCGGCCGATCGCAGGTTCCAAGTCAGGCAGACCTAGAATCAGCTCTTGAGAAGCTGTTGCAAGAAACGCTGGGAACTGCAGACAGGAGGATTCAGGTGAGCCCTGACACAGAGTTCATGGAGCTGGGCATGGACTCGATATCGGCTAGTAGCTTCGTACAGAGGGTGCGGGAGAAGCTTCTCGTGGAAGTGAACCCGGAAGAGGTGGTGAGGTTTAGCCTGCACAGCATGAGAAAGCACATCGGTCGACTCCTTGTTTCTGCATCCGCCCCGGAAGAGCATGTCCCCAAGAACCTCCCGCGTGCACAAAGTGGCAGGGAGCCCCTGAGCATCGCAGGAATCGGATTGCGAACTAGTGCAGCCAAGAACTTCGAGGAGTTCTGGATGCAGCTGCTGCATTGCTGCGGTGTATGGGCAGTTCCGACCCCACGTGCTCCACTTTACGAAGGGCTTGAGGACTTCGTTCAGCATGCAGGCTTGCTCCACGATGGCCGCAGCTTCGACTGGAGCTTTTTCTGCATCGAGCCTGAACAAGCATCACTGTCAGATCCACAGCACTGTTTGTTGCTCGAAAGCACATACCAGGCCATACTTGCGTCAAACTTGGATCTTTGTGGCGAGGACGTTGCGGTCTGTGTGGGCATGGGGTCTAATGAGAATTTGGATGAGGCTGCACGGGCCTTGGACCGCCGGAACGTCAAAACCAATAAAGACAAGCGTGCCTCGGGCCTCTTCGCAGTTTCGAACAATCGAAGTGCAGCCTCGAGCAGCTTGTCCTACTACTTTGACCTGCTGGGTCCAGCGATTTCCTTGGACACAGCCTGCTCTTCCTCCCTGATGGCCGTGCATTACGTGACGCCATACATTGCCGACTCGAAGGTGAATGCGGGTGTGGCAGCCGGAGTGAACATTGTCTTGTCGCCGCATCTCATGCGCCATTATGCAAAGATGGGAATGCTTTCCAAGACCGGCTGCTGCCGCTCCTTCGATGCCGAGGCCGATGGAATGGTAAGGAGCGAAGGTTGTGTTTCCCTTGTCCTCTCCAATGGTGAACACCACCAGGCTGAGATCCTGGGAATGAAAGCGAACAATAATGGCCGCTCCAATGGGGTCATGTGGCCCAGTGTATCAGCTCAGAGAGATCTGCTACAGAGTGCACTGCAGGCAAGCGGGATCCAAAGCTCGCAGGTCGAAATAGTGGAATGTCACGCTCCCGGAACAGCGCTTGGCGATCAGATGGAGATTGAGGCTTTGGCGAAGGTCTTTGAAGGGCAGCTCTTACTTGGTGCTTGCAAGTCCGTGCTCGGGCATCATGAAGCCGCTGCTGGGCTCATGGGACTTTGCAAGGTCTTTTGCGGGCTCAACTATCGATCCGTATCGTCAAATCTTCACCTTCGTGTGCTTCATCCACAGATCGCGACACTCTTGGATGCGCGCAGCCTTTCGCCTGTATCCTCCCATATGCAGTTGGCGGTCAAGTCACAGCCTGTAGCAGGGGTGAGCAGCTTTGGTTTCAGTGGCACCAATGTGCACGCCCTTCTTCGCGGAGCCTCGGAGACTGCAAGCGAACCTCTGGACGACCTCCAAAGCTTGCGTGATCGGCTCACGGCACAGGTGCGTGGTATCGTCCTGAGGCTTGCGAGTGAGGCCGACAGCCGCTTCGTCTGCATTGAAATGGAGGCTCCAGCATTGGGTTTGATTGTCATGTGTTCGGGCCATAGCGAGTACCGAAGTAGCATCAATTTCACGCCTCTGCTGAGGTTGGCACCATCCGCCTATCATTGTACCAATTTGCGCTGCCACGGAATCATCCTGCATGCGCTTGCGCGACAGCTTCGCCAAATGCTGCCGATCAGTTGCGGCCTCAGGCTTCGATGTGCCAGGTGAGCACCTTAAGCTAGGAGCATCATTCTGAGCAGCTGTGGGAAATTTAGTCAGGTGTCGTAGGACGGTGATGAGGTAGAACCGTCTGATCATCCTGAAATCGGCAGCCTGAGGCTTTTGCCATGCAGCCGTCCGATGGCACAAATCTGGCAGTGATTCACAACCTTTGCTTCTCCATTGCCGTGCAGAAAGCCTGCATGCGCGTTGACAGATCCTTTCGCTTGTCCATGCTTTTGAGCTCGCCGGATGACCTCGCAGACAGCTGCCTGATGCGGTGGTTGCCTGTAGCTGCAGGGGAAGAGAAGGCTGAGGCAGTGTTTGTCTTCCCTTCGCTTCGGACACACAGAGGCTTGATCCAGGTGTTGTATCACAGCAACTGGGTGTTCCGCGAGGTGCTGAACCACTGCTGTGGTAGTTGGCAGACCTCGTTGAGCGACGTTTCGTTGCTGGACGCTTTGTTGTCTACACGCTCTATGGAGCTACTTTCAAGACCGGGGGTTCAACCTGCAGCTTCCTGCGCCGTGCAAGCAGCGCTCGCACACTTGCTGCGAAGTTGGGGCATCCATCCTGTTTCCTGCTACAGCCAGGAAGACGGAACTCGGGCTATGAGGTTTTTCTGTGAGGGCGCTGGCCTAGGTCAGGCCATGTACGGCACAGATGAGGTTCCTAAGTCAGAATCCAACCGTCGCTTTGCCTTCTACCTGGGGCTGGCTCCAGAAGATGGAGCCATTGACACCGTTGCCTGCCTTGCTAAGGAGCAGGGTTGCAGCCAGCTGCTCAGAAGCTTGGCAAAGTGGTACGAAGCAGGTGGTCATGTGGACTGGCGGGCTTACTATCAAAGCTTCGGCCTGCATTGCCAATTGAAGAAGCTTCCGGCCTATCCTTTCGATCATGTGCACGTGCCTGCAATCCATGACCTGGAGCCACGAATGCCAGAAGCCGGTGTCCCACCGACAGCCTCTTCTGTGGACGTCCATGGCTGCGCTGTTCAGGCAGTTCCTTCGGAGCATCCTCTGTTGCAGCGCCTGGCTGATCTGCTCGAGATCCAGGTTCCCGACCTGAACCTGGCAGGAACCTTTTTTGAGAATCATGGAGACTCCATCTCTGCACCGCCCTTCCAAGCTCTTTGCCGGTGCTTTGGTCTGGAGGTGAAGCTTTCAACACTGATTGAGGAGTCACTTCAGCAGCTCTTGAACCGCGCCCGTCCAGCACAGGACTTGGTCAGGCAGATCCCGATCGATTCGGCGGCTCGCATGGAACCGTTTCCCCTCACCACGATCCAAGAGGCCTACTATCTGGGGCGGGAGGCCGCTGGCATTTCCGCACACGGCTACATGGAAGTCGATGCCAGTCCGGATCTGGACTTCTCCCGATTCTCCGAGGCCTTCAACAAGCTTATCCGAAGGCACGACATGCTCAGGATGCAGTTGATGGCATCCAACGATGCAGAGGTCCCAATGCAGCAGATCCGGCAAGCCAGGCAATGTGCATACCAGATTGAAGTCCGAGACCTGCGTCACGTAGCGGGCACAGAGCTTCAGAATGAGCTTGCAAAGTTGCAGAAGGAATTCTCCCACGAGGTCATTGATGCAACGGGTTGGCCCTTGTTCCACGTGCATGCTTCCCGTCGCAAGGGTGACTCTGGCGACCAGTGGCGGCTGTATTTCTCTTTTGACTCATTATCTTTGGACATGTTCAGCATGCGCATTCTGTTTGAGGAGTGGCATCAGCTTTACCTGAATCCGTCTCTGGAGCTTCCGGAACTTGAGCTCGGCTTCCGTGATTGGGTCAAGTGGACGGATAAGCAGAAGTCGGGCCGAGAGTATCAAGAGGCGAAGCAGTACTGGCAAGATCGCTGTCAGGAGCTACCCAGTGCTCCGTCTCTGGCCTTGCTGGCCGATCCAAGCAGCATCCAGAGTTTCCATTTTGAGCGGTGCATCCGAACAATCTCCCAACCAGTCTGGGAGCAAGTGAAAAGGAAAGTCAAGGAGGTCAGTCTGACTGACACAAGCCTTTTGCTCACGATCTTTGCAGCAGTTCTCGGCCGCTGGTCCGAGAAAGCCGCTTTCCTTATCAACGTGACTCGCTTTGGCCGTGACCCATCCTTGCACCCTCAACTGCTGAACATTCTTGGGGACTTCACCTCCGTGGTTCTGCTGGCCGTGAACACAGCGGAATACGCAGTCGCCCCGTTTGGCGAGTCAGCCAAGGCACTGCGAGACCAGCTGTTTCAGGATCTAGACCATGGCCAATACAGTGGAGTCGATGTGAACAGGCTGGTGCGCCAGAAGCATTGCTGCGGACTCTTTGAAAGCCTTGCCCCGGTGGTGTTCACCAGCTTGCTCAACTTGCCAAGGAACTCGGAGGCGAACTCTGAGTCAGTCGGCCAGAGATTCGGGGAGGTTATCTTCAGCATTACACAGACTCCACAAACATGGCTGGATTGCAAGGTCTTTGAAGCTGGCGGCGCTCTGGTTATTGAGTGGGACTTTGCCAGGGAGCTGCTTGCCGCTAAACAAGTGGAGGAAATGCACAGTGCCTTCTGCCATTTGGTCGAGACGATTGCGGATCCCACCTTCCGTTTTGAATCGGCCTTGCCCGAGTTCATCCCCCAGGAATCTCTCCATCTGTGGAGGAGCCTCAATCAAACTGAGCGGTCTTGGCAACCCAAAGAGTGTCCTCTCACCCTGCAGTCGTTGGTGAGCGACGCCTTGAGTCGTCCAGGCACCTCAGTTGCCTTGTTTTGGCAGAATGAGTCTTTTACTTTGCATCAGTTGCACTACTATGTCTCGAACTTGGCACACCGGCTGAGCAATCAAGAAGGGCTGTCTGGGACAATTGTGGCAGTGCATATGCCACGATCACCGGAACTGGTGGCCGTACTCTATGCCATCACGCTGGCAGGCGCAGCTTACTTGCCAATAGATTTCGATCATGGTCACCCCCTGGAGCGCAAGGAACACTTTCTCAAGGAGAGTGCGGCAACAGCCTTGATCTTCACCGAACGCGACGCGTGCATTGAACTTGCTTCTCGCTTGAGAATCAAGACCATTCACGTTGGGAGCCTGGGCAAGAGCGGAGAGGAGCACTGCCCGAAGGTTTCCTCCATGGCGGCTGCAGAGGATGTTGCATACGTCATATACACTTCCGGGTCCACCGGGCGGCCGAAAGGAGTGGCAGTGCAGAACAAGGCCGTTATGAACCGTCTGGCCTGGATGCAGTACGAGTACAAACTGCGTGAGTCCGATGTGGTTATGCAGAAGACACCCTACACATTCGACGTGTCCGTGTGGGAGTTTTTCTGGCCACTATTTGTGGGCGCAAAGCTGTTGGTGGCTGATCGTGGAGGTCATGCAGATCCTGAATACTTGCAAGAAGCTATCAACAGGCACAGCATCTCGGCAATCCACTTCGTGCCATCCATGCTGCGGGATTTCATATCCGTGGCGGTTGCAGACAAAGGCAGAACAGGTCCAGAACAGATGAAGTCGCTTAGGCATGTCTTCTGTAGTGGCGAGGCGTTGGCTCCGGAGCTGGTGCAGTCCATGTACTCCATGCTCACAGAAAAAGCCCAGATCCATAATCTCTATGGGCCCACGGAAGCTGCGATCGACGTGACGTTCTGGTGCTGCCCTCGGGATCTGCCGCCGTTGCAGCCGATTCGGCTTGGACATCCAATTTCAAACATGAAGGTTTTCGTGCTGAACGAAGCCGGGCAGCTGTGTCCCTTGGGTGTCAGTGGTGAGCTCCATCTCGCAGGAATTGGGTTGGCGCAGGGATACTTAAACGACGATGAGCGCACCAGATCTCAGTTTACAACAAAGTCTCTTTGACATCTGATAGGCTTACATTTTATGGTCGCTTAACGTGTTCCTTCCTGATTGCATGGCAGAAAAACGTTCGACTTAGGATTCCAGGTCTGCTCCAAGAGCTTGGGGTGATCCGCATGTATCGAACTGGCGATTTTGGTCGGCTTCTTTGCGATGGGACCCTCGAGTCACGGCCACGCATTGAGACTAGCATGTACCCGCCTCGTTTAGTCCTGGCTTTTGCCGTGCATCAGGGCCGTAGGTTTTGGGCTCTACAATCTTGAAACAGTTATTGCAAGGTTCTTTGGCCGCAAGGATGGGCAGGTAAAGATCAATGGGCAGCGAATTGAGCTGTCGGAGATTGAGCACTTCAGCTGCAACTGTTGTGGCATTTCGATGGCGCAAGTGACCAGTGTTGATAGGTCAAGGCGGACGGCCAGAATTGCATGTGATGGCAAGACTTGGGGTCACTGATAGTCACATCTATCCATAAAGCCGCCTGTGAAGCCGGATGCTAACGGGCATATGATGCAGCATATGACTGCGGCATGATAGAAGAGAGGTGATTTAAGAAGTTTGATTCAGAGCGCACCAACAGCCCGGCTGCTGGCACTCAGGAGCGCTGCATTGCAATGCGACCTAGTCGAGGCGGTCAAGGTGATCAAGATAGAAACGAGGCCAGGCCTGCCAGTAAGAAGTTATGCTGGAAGCTCGAGCGGAAATCAAAGGTTCGGGACAGCCGATATGTAGATGCAGGGTGCTGTGAGGAACTGATTCGTGCTAGAAAGAACTTGGCAAGGCTCGCTGCGTTCGTGCAGCCGCCACAGCAGGTCCGGCAACTCATGCTACACAAGGATGATCTGCAGCAGACCGCCCAGCGAAGAGATGCAAGCCTCCAGGACGATCCCTTGTCAGAGCGATTTGCTTCCCAAAGTTCAGTCCGATTTCCATATGCCGGGCCGAGCCCAGAGGTGTTGCAAATGCGAAAGAGCTCGCGGAGCTTTGAACCCCCAAGTCGCGGTCCAATGCTTGAGTCCAGCCTGGTGCAGTGCGTGCAGCAATCTCTTGCCGAAAGCTTCGCATCCCATTCGGACTCGGATTTTGAGAAGCTTTCACTCGATTCACTTGGTGCAATTATGGCACCACTGTTTCGGCCTCAGTCTGCCGTGCTTGAGACTTGCTATGACAGTCATGGAGGGATTCAGAGACTGCATCATGTACAAGCTCAGGCGGTGCCAACGTCCGGCAGACGCTGATCCATCACAGAAGAAATTCCTTTACCCGTCAGCCGGCACAACCTACTCCATTCAAGCCCATGTCTCGCACGAGGGCAGGGAATGTTTCTATGACCGGGAAGGGCATGCTCTGATTAGGCCTCAGGAGTGCGCCGGCACAGCAAACAGCGATGTCGCCGTGCTGACCCTGTACTGGAGACCCCGTCGCTTGACGGAATTGTATGAAGAAAGGGGAAGGCGCTTTGCCGAGATTGAGGCTGGGGCCATGTTGGCCCTGATCCAGCAGGAGGCAGGTGCTCTCGGCTTGGAGGCCTCTGTGTCCTTTGCCTCCCGTCCCGAAACTGCAGAGGAAGAAGAGGAGCCTCTTCTTTCCATCAGCTTTGTCAAGAAGGTGCCGGGGATCAAACGGGGCCTGACCCTCCGCGATCTGCAGATGCACATGTTCCTCTACGTTCTGAAGCCCTTCGGGTCCAAGGAGGTGGGCCTGTACAAGTGGCGTGATGGTGACTTCCAAAGGGAGAAGTGGCACTGGCCGGAGGATATGTGGAAGACACAGCCGGCATATGCTGCCTCAATCGTCTACAGCGCATCGTTTCTGATCATCTGCTTCTCTCCAAGCTCTCGCCAAGCGGCCGTGTCTGCCGGTGTACACATGCAACGTGTACAAGCAGCGAGCCCAGCCTTTCGTCTGGGATTCTGCCCCTTAGGCAACGTGGAACTTCCGTGTGGCTTTCCAGTCCCTGAGGGATGTCAGTTCACATTGGCGATGGCTGGTGGCGCGCTGCGTGATCGCGCGGACAAGATGTCCTGGGATGAACATATCCAGCAGCACCTGCGCAGTTACATTCCTATCGGCTGGATGCCTTCGGTAAACCTGGTGAAAGAACTTCCCTTGACCAGTTCAGGCAAATGTGACGTCTCGGCCTTGATGAAGAAGTTCCGTCCAGTAGCCCAGGAAGGGGGTCAGCTTGGGCCCGAGCTGCATCGAATGGCAACCCTTTGGGTGGAGGTGCTCGGAGAGAAGGCCAAGGGGCCAGTGGTGGCAGGATGCAGCTTTCGTGATCTTGGGGGGGACTCGCAGTGTTTGCTGAAACTTGTGCGCAAGATCAAAGATGCCTTCGGTGTTCAGGTACGTTTTCTAGACCTTGAGGCGAACCACGGGGTGAAGGACATGCAGGCAGTGGTCGATAAATCGAGGATGACATCGCCGATTGCAGCCATGCGATCTCAGAGCGAAAGCTTCACAGCTTCCATCGCGCAGCACGTGATGTTTGCAACCTACGAAGCCGAAGTGTGCCTCCCGGCGCATGCTTACCACATATACCTGGAGGTTTGTTTGTCTGGTGAGCTGCAAACATGCCGGCTTCAACATGCAGTTGAAGAGCTCGTCAAGCGCCATCCGATGTTGGCAGTTCGCTTCCATTACGACGACTCGCCACCACACGAGCTCCTCCTTCATCCGGGGACGGCTGCAAAGATGCAGGTGGTGGATTTGAGGCAAGAGGACGATGCTGAGGCAGCGGTGCGGTCCAGGACGGCTGATGTGATCAAGAAGCGCTTCGAATTGAAAAGCGGGCCGCTATGGAGGCTTTGCCTCTTCCAGCTTTCCAATGCTAAGAACGTTCTGATCATTGTTGTGCACCACATCATTGCCGATGGCGAGTCGGTCGGGATCCTCCTCCAAGACTTGGCCACGGCCTACAATCGGGAGAAGCTGCCACCGTCACCGTCGTGGCAGTACCAGCAATTTGCGGAACAGCAGCGGTGGAGTCTTTCGGAGGAGGTGGCTGCGAGGAAGCTTGAGTTTTGGGAGAGATACCTGGCGGGTATGCAGCCAGTCAACATGGACGAGACTGCTAGGACAACTTCTGGCTCCGAGCGGGAAGCCAGCACAGCAACGCGCAGGGTCAATTTCAAACACACTCCCGAGGCCGCGACCCTTCTCCGGAGTTCGTTCTGCCTCCTCTTGCATTCTTGGTTCCAGCAGGACGACCTGTTGTTCGGTATGACATCATCGCACAGGTGCGACTACGGACAGGATGATTCGAACGAAGTTGGCCTGTACGTTAACGTGCTCCCTTTCAGGTCCCAAGTCAGTGCGAAGACCACAGCGAACAACTTTCTTGGGTTCGTGAAAGAGTCCCAGCAAAAGACGCACCAGAACCGACTCCCTTTCCGGCACTTGCAGGATCAACTGGCCCGGAATCCCAATGCTCCTGTGCATCTGTCCTGCAACGTGCTCTTCATTCTCCTAGAGTCTCCGGCAGAGGACATCAACTTTGATGGCCTACAGCCCGTTCCTCTATTAGCAGCCTGTGGCAGAGACGGTGCCTGCAGATTCTCAGATGTCCCGATTGCTCCGATGTTCGACCTGACCGTGCGTGTGGACATGCTCTCTGAGAAATGCAGGCTGACCTACGAGTGCAAGAACTCCGCACACATACAGGTGGAGCGCCTGGCGTCGGAGCACGAAAGGTTGATCTTCGAGCTTGCAAAGGCCAGAAAGCAGTGTGAGTGTTAGAGTTCTTAACATTCTGGTGCTTAACATCTCCAGTCGAAGATCTTGTGGCCTCTGCCTGCAGGTGTGCCAATCTGGCCATGATGTCCCAGTGAAAGCTCTCTGCCGCCATTCTCAGGCCCAGGCTCACCGAAGCCGTCTCTCCGAGCTGCTCAGCCCGGTGCTCCATGGAAACAGCAGAACCCGGAAGGGTAAGAAGGCGGTGACTTCGGGAAGCCTCGTGTTGACCTATGAGAACCTGATGCATAGATCATCTCGTGTGGCGGCAGTGTTGCAGAAGGCCTCAGCGAGGATGGTGCTTTTGTGGCTCGAGCGCTCGCCGGAGCTCATCGTTGGTCTGATCTCATGCTTGTCGACAGGCCTTGGTTTCAGTGCTCGAAGGAAAAGGGCCGACGAGCTGTGTGCTTGTTACTTTGGGTGTGAGCATGTGTCCTTGCCAGTGCCCTTGCCAGGGGTGCCCTTTGTGCCACTGGATGTCACGAGCATGCCGATGACCAGGGCCAGCGTGATTGCCGACGACTCCGGAGCTAATGTCGTCCTCACGACATCGCAGACATTGAACTGCGAAAGGTTTGTGCGCCAGCTGCCACCACATGTCACACCGATCTTCGTGAACATGGTTGGCAAGGACCAGGTGGCAGGCGTGCAGTGGGTGAAGGAACCTATTGACGACGACGAGCTGGCGTACATCATGTATACATCCGGATCCACAGGGCAACCAAAAGGCACGCAAAGTGCATAATGTCCGGGCTGAGGTCTGTGCTTGGTAGGAGGCCTTGGCCAACCGTTTGATACCAGTAGGTGCCATCGTTTGAGATGTCGCCATTCGATGCAGGAGTTGAAGTCCTCCGTCGCAACCTTTGCAGCTTCCTGAAGGCGTTTGCTAAGTTGCTTCCAGCCTTCGTCAGCGAAAAGACGATCTGGTACTCCGTCACCCGCCCCAGCTTCGATATCTCCTTGCTTGAGTTCCTCGGCTGCCTCCTGCTGCATGGTGAGCTGGTATTGGCATCTGAAGGAGCGCGACTAAATGGGCAGCTAATGCAGAAGGAGATTCAATCCTGCGGCGCCAACGTTCTGCAGCTGACCCCGCTGTTCTGGGAGCAGCTGCCGAATCTCCAGGTGTTAGCCACGCACAATTTCTTGGCACTTTGTGGTGGCGACAGCATGTCTCCAACACTTGCCGCGCGATTTCTTGAAGCCGGAAAGAACTTGCACACCATGCACGTGTACCTAGCTCCAGGATTTTGCCTGACTGATCTGTGCCAAGGCCGCTAGTGATATCTGATAAATACAAGCCTGGAGTTACTGATCAGCTGAGGTATGGACCTACGGAGACAACAATCTGGGCGACGGCAGCATGGTTACAGAAGGGCCCTGAACGTGAAAGATGCATTGGCGTGCCCATGCAGAATGCAAGTGCCTTGGTTCTGTCAGGCCCATCCGATGTGAGGTCTGCAGAGCTGCAGCCAGCCACGGGCGAGGGCGAGCTGTTCCTGGCTGGTCCGTGTGTAGCCCGAGGTTATCGCAACCGGCCCGACCTCACGAGTGAGAAGTTCGGTCCATGCCCTTTTCCGGATGCACTGGACCAGCAGATGTATGCGACAGGTGATGTGGCAAGATGGATGAACTCGGATGTGACCGGCTCCCGCGAGCTGTACTTCCTCGGCCGGAGAGATTCGCAAATCAAAATACAGGGGAACAGAGTCGAGCTTGAAGAGGTGGAGCTCTGCCTTGAAACACACGAGAGTGTTTGCAGGGCCGTCGTCGTCTCTGATAGACTCAGCCTTTTTGCGTTTATCGTGCTGCAGGGATCAACGGCTTGGCCGGAGAAACAGCGTGAAAAGCTCCGTGGCCATTTGGAGAAGCACCTGGAGAGCTACAAGATACCTTCCCGCATCTTTGGCAGGGGGTCATTTCCCATGACGGCAAGTGGCAAGGTGGACAAAAAGCAACTGCTCAAGGAAGCACTTGGGCAAACACAGGCAGCCATGCCAATATCAGCTGCAGCCGGCCCCGACACTGATCAGCAGCTTGTGTTGCAGTGCCTTCGCAGGCTGTTGCAGAGAGAGCTTGGCATGGAGGAAAGACTCGACATCGTAACATCTTTTCAAGCGATTGAGCTGGCTGCACGCTTGAAGCACGAGCTTGGCCAGATCATAGATCCTTTGTGGCTCCTCGGTGCCGAGAAAACGTGCCGGAGCCTGCTTATTGAGCTTGGCAGGCCGACCATGCAGCTCATGGAGCCTGAGTCTGTTATCTCCACCAGGATCCCGAGTTGCGGAAGCTCTACTGAAGGTGTGCTGGTGATGGGTCTTGCCGCCAGGGCAGGGAAGAGCGGGTCTTGCGCCCAATTGTGGTGCAATCTCCTTCTGGGCACTGACTGCATGACCGACTTCTCCGACGACCAGCTCGAAGGGATGAGCTTGGCCAAGGCTGACTACGAGTCTGGAGACTATGTCAGGGTCAAGGGCGTGGTCGAGGACTTCGCCTGCTTCGACGCGAATTTCTTTCAGCTTGGAGAGCTACAGGCGCAAAAGCTGAGCCCCCTCCACAGGTGCTTCTTGGAAGAGGCCCGAATGGTGATTGAGGATTCCGGTGGCAAAGCTGCTCTTCCTTCCGCTACGGCCGTGTTTGCTGGAATGGGTGACTCGCACATGAGAACGGAACGACGTAGCTCAGTTTGTGTGCAGCACAATGACCCCCCTGAGATTTTCCGATATTTCGTATTCCGAGGCGATCACGATTATCTCACGGGTGGGTATGGATCAGCAGAGATGCTGACCTTTGAGTTGGCCAATGGAAAGGACTTTCTTGCCAGCCAGGTGGCGTACCACTTCGATTTGAGAGGGCCTGCAGCGGGAGTTCAGACACTTGGAGAATAGCATGTTAGACCTTGCCTCTGATACCTAAGCATGTTCTGCCACATCACTGACCAAAGCCTGACCCTTCTTTCCCTCGCACCGATCCCAGAGGTTGGGGTCTGGGAGATCAGGGATGCGCCGAGAAATGAGAGAATGCACGATTTAAGTAAACGTTTCTGCTGAAAGCGGTTTGCGAATCCACGATCCCACGCCTCGTGCATGCAAGGACGGCCTGTTCCTCTGGCCTTGTGGCCATTGCTGTTGCTGCCGACCACTTGCTTGCCCAGCGCTGTGAGGCGATGATGATTTTTTCGTGTCTAGGATTGCAAGGTTGTCTCCGGCGGAACATGCAGTCCCGTCCAAAATTCCAGAGCCCAGAGCCGAAACTGAGCTGAGATGCAAACTCCCAAAAAAGCGATTTGTGTAGCAAGTCTCCTAAGAAAGCGGCGGCAAGTCAACTGTCAGCATTGCGCCTGCAACCCACCCAGGAGATCGCAGGAAATTCGAGGGGCGCCGTATGTGGGATCGAGCACCATCCAAACCTAGGGTTTGATGGACTACCAAGCCTTCAGCTATAGCCTCGATTGGCAGGCTGCCCTGGCTGGCGCTGTGTCCCTGGCTCCATTCACCCCGGGCTTCCGTGCTGGCCCAGGCTGCGGGGTGCAGTAGGTTCGACGAGGGGGCTTCTGGGTTAGAACGATTAGATTGGAGGAGCAGTGTCTTCCGTGAGGAACGCAGTTCTCTCCACGTGGCCGATGCCGCACATTTTCCGCAGACGCAGATGGGATCGGTGTGGGGCAGGGAGTTGGAGCTGCACTGCTGTGGCAAGCTCGTGGTTCGAGGCGGTCTGCAGCATACTGCACTCTGTCCTCGTGCATGGTTAACAGTGACGGGGCTGATAAGAGGAGCTTCGCACATCCTTCTGGCAATGCACAGTGTGCCTTGATCAGAAGTGTGCTTGAAGCAGCAGATTGCTGCCCCCAAGATGTGCACATGTTTGAGTGTCATGGTACTGGAACAGCAATCGGGGATCCAATTGAAGCCGCAGCGCTGATCAAAGCTTTTGATATCAAATCTTCGAGCACTTCGAGAACCCCGACGGAGATCAAACACTGCACGCCCATAGCCTCCTTGAAGAGCAATGTCGGGCACACTGGGGCCACTGCTGGCGTCCTGGGATTCATTAAGGCCTGCCTCGCTGTTCTCCATCAAACGGTCCCATCCAGCCTGCACTGCGATGTTCTCCATCCTTCCATCGACTTGGAGTACACGCCCTTCGCAGTTCTATCGAGTTGCATGAGCCTTGTAGACCCCAGAGGGTGTGCAGAACGGAGAATCCACGCCGGTGTCAGCTCTTTCGGGTTGGGAGGCACGAACGCACATGCTCTGTTGGAGGAAGGGCCTCTTGAAGAGACCCGCTCCACGAAGCGATGCATGAAGCTTACCACGTCCACCAGGGAGGTGTTCTGGCATGCAGATGCGAAGTATCGCCCGCACATTCAGTCCCTTGGCATGCCCTCCGTCATGTTTTACGCTTTAGAAACTTTCGGGCTCAGGGTTCAAAGCCTAGACTCCTCAGCCCTGTGAGCTGAGGCTAGGGCACGGCTTCTCGACGCTTCCTGGAAACCACCCGGTGCTTGGCCGGCCGGTACCTCGCATCAACGGCACCCGCACTTACCATTGCAAGCTGGAGCGCGAAAGCAAAGCAACCGGCTTCTTCTGGCAGCATCGGGTCAATGGGACTCCCGTCTTTCCAGCCGCTGGCTTCATCGAGCTCTTCGTTTCAGCAAGTCTCCTGGAAGGATTGGAGGACTTGTGCATCACAGATATCGAATTCCAGCGGCCTCTAGTGCTGCAAGGAGACATCTGCCACTTCGAGGTTCAAGTTGTGCGCATGGGAGAGTGCTACAAGCTCAGCGCATCATTGGCTGCCCAAGCTGCCATGTTTGCCTCCGGCACGGCTCGGCGTCTGCAAGACGGTGAGGTGGAGTCTGCTAGAGATGCTTGCATGAGCTCCTTCTCCCGAAGCGATTTTCAGTCCGTGGATGTGGACAGGGAGTATGAGAAGCATGGGGAAGGGTACGGATCTCGCTTCCGGACAGTCGCGACACTCTCTGCTGGTAGATATGCTGCAGAGGGCTTCTTGAAAAGCAGGCTGGACGCAAGCGTCAAAGCCTGTCTTTCTGGTGCCACTTTCGATCCAGCTCTTCTGGATGGGGCGTTGCAAGTCATGGTGAGCAAGCTGTATCAGCACACTGACGTCAGCTGCATGAAGAGCAAGACATGGCCCGTTGGGGTCAAGGCAATCTTCTTCACCCCAGGTTGCCAGTGCTACCTCCAGGATGCCCACGTTCGTGCAAGCTGGAGGGACCGCTGCACCTTCACTGGATCCTTCGAGCTCGTTGCCGAGGGGGTGCCAGGCTTATTGGTGCAAGACTTGCGCTTCGCGAAGGTGCCCGATGTGGATCTCAGGGCCGACCTGATCGTTGAGCCACGTTGGGAGACACAAGCCGTCCCAGCCCAAGCTGATCAGCCCCAAAGAAGCCCGCGATGCCTCGCCTTTGTCCGTCCAGATCGGACCAGCTCTTCGATGCTCGGGCAGCTGTGCAGGGTGGGGGTTCCAAAGCTGTTTTACACTTTCTGGTAGGTGCAGCCCTTGTTGTCCTGGTAGACTCGTAGTCCCTAGACTCTAGCGTTGAGATACAGTATACCGCAGGTCATGACTACCCAGACGATTGTTCCAATCTGTCCGGGATGGACAGAGGCAACTCACGTCTGGGTGCAGGATGAGGATGATTTTGATCGTGTGCTCAGCGAGGGGCAAGAAGAGGGTCCAACCTCCGTTCTCTTTCTCTGGAGTCTCGACTGCGACGAGGATGATGGCTTGTCGGAGGACTGGCTGGACCTCTCTTGCCAAGCCCTCCTGCACCTGGTTAAGGCTTTGCTGCGATTTCATCAGCGAGGTGGCTCGATAGATCGGCTCGTGGTGGTGACTTCCGGTGCGGTCCATGTAGCCCCCTTCACAAGCCTGCATTTGCCACAATCGACCTTTGCTGGCTTCTGCCGCAGTCTTCGCCTGGAATGTCAGGGACGATTGCGTGTGCTACATGTCGAGCCTTCGAAGTCATTGATCATCAGTTTAGGCTCTCTCAGTCTCAACTCTTTGCTTGAGGAAGTATGCAGTTTGCGTGGTCGCGGTGTTGGCAAGCCGAGGATTTGGATCCGAAAGACTGTCTTGCCGACTCAAGTGCCAGCGCCTTAGCCCACGAGATCGATGCCATGGATGAGGGTGAGCTCGGGCTGGCACACCGTGCTGGTAAGAGGTATGTTTGGCGCCCACGCTTCGCCCCTGACCCCAAGTCTGGGAGATATCCTGGCGACGGTGATTTGGACTTAGACTCCACCAAGCACCTCATCACAGGAGGTCTTGGTGCGCTAGGTCTTGAGATCGGAGCTTGGCTTGCTGAGTATGGTGCCAGCGAGCTCATTTTGGTGAGCCGCAACTCGCAGTGGCACCAACGTCCGCACGCGGTTCGGATCAGTCAAGTGCTTGCAAGACTCGAGGTGGCAGTTGAGATCCGAGTTGAGCAGTGTAACGTCGCGAAGCGTGGGGAAGTTTCTCATCTTTTGCAGAGGCACGGGCATGGGCTGGCAGGCATTATTCACGCATCAGGAGTGCTGCGAGATGGCTTCATCGAGTCCATCACATACGGTGACTTCCAGATGGTTTTCGAGCCGAAGGCCAAGGCTGCGTACTGGCTCCATGAAGCATCAAGCAACCTGCATGACCTTCGAAGCTTCGTCCTCATGTCATCCATCGCCGGGGTCTTGGGCTCCCCTGCGCAAGTACCATACAGTTCTGCCAACGCCTTCCTGGATGGGCTAGCGGCCAAGCGCCTGCAGCAGAAGAGGTGCTCTCTCAGCATCAACTGGGGTCCATGGGCTGAAGTTGGTATGGCTGCCAATACCCTCGCCACTCCGAGCATTAAGAAGCTGCCTCCGGCCAAGGCCTTGGCGATTTTTGGGCAAATGCTTCAGCACAGGCAACTTCCACATGCTCTCGTCGCCGACATGGATTGGAATGCCCTTGCCCAAAGTTCTGGGTCCTCCACGGCATGGCTGCATCCTTTGGTTGGAAGCAGGGCGCACCGCCATGAGGAAAGGATGGACGAAACCGCAATCCGCAAGATCCTCGTGGACTCAATCATGGAGATGCGGAGCGAGACAGAGCCCTTCAGTGGGTTTTCTTTCAGCAGCCTTGACTCCTTGGAGAAGACCGAGCTTGCGAGCACTTTGCAAAGGAGGGGCCTCTCGGAGGTGATAGCGGCGTCTTTTTTCGCCCATGATACACCGGAGAAGCTCTTGAGGTGTCTTGTCTGGAGACAGCACTCTGTTCCTTTCGATCCTGCAGATGATACTTTGTGAATCGGGGTCTCTACCCGACATTGTACGCCCTGAAACGTTCTGCCGTACCCAGCCACCCCTCGACCCTTTCGCGAGTTTCAAGTCTGCACCCGAGGCAGCTGGTCTGCAGCCAGGTTTCAGAGCCTCTGAAGCTCGCGCCTGCACAAAACCTCATTTTTGACTCCGAGAAAGCTCCGTGTGTTCTGACCAGCTTTGCGTGCGAGTATCCGTCAGGCGCATCCTCTCCATCTTGCGTTCATCTTGAGCAGTCTTGGCGATCTTAAGAATAGCTGCAGTTGCATGTCCCTGAGCAGATTTTCGCGATCCCTGTAGGTGTGCAGGACTCTCCGGGACTTCTGCGCTTCATGCAGGAAAGCAAAGATGGAGTGAGTGAGATTCCTAGTACCCGCTGGGATGTGGACGAGTACTTCTCAGAGGATGGGTGCATCTACTGTAGGTGATGTTTTGCCTGTCCATGTCTGCCGCAAGCGACTCCAGCTTGACCGTTCGTGTCGCAGCAGGACAGGATGTATACTCGCCATGGGGCTTTTCTTGAGCGTGATCCATACTCGTACGATGAAGCCTACTTCAAGATCACCGGCTCAGTGGCAGCTTTCATGGACCCGCAGCAGTGGCTGATTCTCGAAGCAGGTCAGCAAGCCATCTATCAGGCTGGACAGGACCTGCAAACTGACACGGGCGTTCCTAAGATGAATCAGAAGTGCTGCTGATGGTCAAGCTACTGATTAGCCAGCATCTGCTAGCCAGAATCGAGGTTTTCGTTGGCGTGATGACTAGGGACTTCACGGACCTGCTCTGCAAGCACCAGGCCCAAAGAGTCGTGGGTTACGTGTTGTAGGTGGCGTGGGAATTCAGGGTGGCCGTCAGGGTTGTTGGCGATTCGCATGCAGCTCTTGCGAAGCCGCCATGCGCGAGGTGCCTCACGACATGTATGCCGGTAGCGGCAACTGCAGCAGCGTGTCTCGGCAGCAGTCTTGAAAGACCCTCTGATCCTACCCGCTCGCGGTCGCACCATGTTTTTTTCTTTCTCTAACTCTCTCTCTCTCTCACATTCTCCTCCTCTCCCTCTCTGCTTGCCTGCTTACCGATCGACCGACCTACCTATCTACCGATCCACCACCTACACACAATTGTACCTCCAGTGAGCTGCACGTGCAGTCATCAGAGCTAGTTCAGTGCACCCCGATGAGTGCGAGCAGGTAGACTTGGATGATTTGACGAAGACTGATCTCAGGTCCTCGCGGGTCGCTTGGCCTACCAGCTGGGGCTGCAGGGCCCTACAGCGACGGTATCCACTGCCTGCTCCTCCTCTCTGGTTGCCCTGGATATGGGTGTGAGCAACATCTTCCGGGGCAAGTCAGCAGGCCGTCCTTGTTCGCAGAAGTTAGCGCAGTTTGGCTTGAGCCAAAATGTTGTAACAGTCCAGGAGCTTTGGCTGGCGGCGTGAATCTGATGCTGGGGCCTGATGTCACGATCAATTGCTGCAAGAGCAAGATGCTGTCACACTTCGGGCGATGTCGCACCTTCGACGAAAGTGCCGATGGATATGTTCGTGGGGAGGGGGTTGGAATGTGTTACGTGGGTGTTGGCGACACGACACAAGGTGGTCTAGCGAGCCTTCCTGCGGCAGGTGTCAACCAAAATGGATCTGGCGTTGGCTTCCTGAGGCCCAACAGTGCAGCGCAGTCCCAGTTGATTCACGGATGCTTGTCTGACGCCAAGATGGCTGCGAAGGCAGTTGACTTCATCGAATGTCATGGCAGTGGGACAACGATTGGTGATGAGGCTGAAGTGGATGGATTGAAGCGTGTTTTCTCAGACATTCGTGGCACTCCTTTGATGCTGAGCACGGCAAAGTCTTCTTTTGGGCATCTTGAAGCTGCAGCCGGCATTCTCGGCCTCCAGCGTGCAGTCTTGGCATTGCACTCCGCCTTCATTCCTCGGCACATCTGGCTTGGAAGGGTGAGTGAACTGATTCAGAGGAAGCTGGAAGCAAATTGGGCACAGTTGGTCTCAGAGCCAGTCTCTCTGCACCGTGATGAAAGCCTCGCGTGTGGTGTCAGCAGCTTCGGCTTCAGTGGAACGAACGCCTCAGTGCTCTTGTCTGGCCCTGTCCCGATGCACGCCACCGATGAGGTCTGGAGGGAAGAGTGCCAGCTTAAGAAGATTCAGAGGCGTAGCCATGTTCCAGTCTTCATGTCGCAGAGCGGCCTGCCAGAAAAGCACCAGGGCCCACCCGAGTCATCTGATGATTTCCTCTACTCCGTGCAGTGGCAGACGTCCGTAAAACCAGGCGCCGATCCCGGCAAACTCTTGGTTTTCAGCTGCTGGTCTGATGGACACCATGTCGATCCAGCCTTGAAGGGCTATGTCCATGCATGCTGGGGTTGTGACCCTGCGACGACCGATGTGGAAAAGATCTCGGGTTCCTCAATGAGCGCCGACATCCAGCACGTGGTTGCGTCGTTTGCAAGCTCTTGTGAAGGCGTCCTTCTGATTTGCGCCAACGGGATGAAGGGACGTTCAGATGATGCTCCAAACGTAGACGTCGAATCGCTGATCTGTTGCCTCTATGTGCTGCAGGCGTTGCTGCAGTCTAAGAAGCAGCTGCCTCCGATTAAAGTTGCTACCTACGCAGCAGAGCCTATAGGGCTACCAGAAGGCCAAGCCATCAGCTTGGCACACGCACCGATTCTTGGGTTCATTCGAGCTGCGGCCGTGGAATTCATTTCACCGCTTCCCCCTCTCAATTTGGTGGACATTCTTCCATCCACAGACCTTGGTCTCGTGGCACGCTGTTGCTGGGATCTGCGGGCTCCGCGGCAAGCGATCCGAGGTGAGATCGTCTACGAGCAGCGCCTTCTGCGTGCAGATGTCGGAGAAGTCACTGAGGTTGACCTGAGCGGAACTTTCATCGTTGCCGGAGGGGGCGGTGCACTTGGAAAAGAGGTGTGCTGCTGGCTGGCCTCAAGGGGGGCTTCCAGCATCGTCGTTCTGCAGCGCAATCCGAAGCCCTGGAATTGCGAGGGCATTAGCATGTCTTTCCGGAAATGTGACGTGACAGACGCAGAGGAAGTGCAGCAGTCGTTCGAACACGCGAAATCGCTCACAGGTGGTATGCTACCGTGCGGCATTGTTCATGCGGCTGGGTCTGTACCTAAGCCTGAATCGTTGCGCCATGTTGAGCATGGCTCGCTTGAAGAGTTCGCGAAGTCTTCAGCTCTCGGGGCTTGGAACCTACACGATCTCGCAGCTAAGCTCAATCCGCATCTCCAGCACTTTGTTGTTTTCTCTTCTTCGGCATCAGTTCTGCCCGTGAGTGGCCAAATCACCTATGCTGCTGGCTGTGCAGCACGAGATCAACAAGCCTCGTTCCGAAGGCAGATGGGCCAGCCCGGAGTTGTTATCAACTACGGTCTCTGGAATGAGGTCGGGGCCGGCGCACAGGACGGCTCCACCGACAAGCTTCTGGTTCCGGGCATGGGTTCTCTCGGAACTCGAGAAGCACTGAAGGCGCTGGAGGCAGTTCTGAGGCCGGATGAGGGAAGATGTGCAGATCCTGTGATTGTCTGTAGAGCTCGCAGGGACTCTGCTGTTCTGCTTTCTGTCTGCAAAGGAGTGGATCGTCACTGCTGGCAATTCCGCTGAACTGGCAGAGGTTCCAGTCCCAGCTGGACTCGGGCGCCATGATCTTCACGAAAGCTTGCCATTCCCAGCTTGCTGTTCCCGCTGATGAAGACTTGTCCAGCCGTCAAGGCATTGCTCATTGCGTCCACAAGGCGTTCCCGCATCACTTGTCTACAATTAGTATTTACTTAGTAGTCCGAGGTCTGCAGCAGGACTTCCTGCAGCTAACTGCCGTTTCGGCTGCTTGCTTGTGAGCAGGTCATCCTGGAAGTTTCGAAGAACTCAGAAGTTCCAGATGACTCTGCAGTGCTCACGGACATTGGGCTGGATTCCTTGTCGCTGAACACGGTTGCGGAGAAGTTGAATGAGAAAGTGGGCGAGAAGATCATCTCAGCAGCGAGCCTTTGCTGTGTTCAAGAAGGGTTTGAAGCCGCGAGTCTGTGTAAATTCAGTGTCAGTGTCCACGGCACCGATCAGCTTTCCCGACATGCTTAGGTCGTTGATGGATGCCGATGCCACAGTTGCGAGTGTTGTCGAAAGAATTGCGAATTGCTTGCTTGCAGATGAAGATGGAGGTGGACGGGCTGTGGATGGTATAATGAAGCATCAGTGTTCTCTTAAGAGGTTTCGCACGTGCTGTAGCAAATTCATGCAGTCGCTCTGCCAACCTCAGGTGATGTAGTTCATTGCGTGCGACGTCAGTTGGCCGACCGACCCGCGCGTCTTCGGGTCCTCCGGCAAGGAGAAAATCAAAGCACGGAGAAGTGCATCATCTTCATCCATACCATCATGGGCAACGTCTTCATGTATCGATCAATCGTTGGATGCTTGAGTGACTATCACGTGCTCGGTATTGACGATCCCTACTTCCGTTTCCACGATCGTCACTTCGGAAGCATCGAGGCGATGGCCTCATGCTACGTGGATCTAATGCTCGAAGCCTCGGAGATCCGCGAGCCCTATCAGGTGAGGCTTCGGCTTTTCTCGGTCAGGGGTTGGACAAGCTCCTTAAGTGCATCAGAGCCCGTTTCACAGATTGGTGCTCCAATATGTAGGTCTTGCGTTGTGGTCCCGAAACCCTAAACCGTAGGTGCTCGGACCCTGGCATTTTTTGTCCAAGCAACAGAACATCCCCCAAAGGTCGCTGGCCTCTCGTTCGGAGGAGCCGTCGCCTTTGAGGTGGGCCGCCAGCTTTCCAACAAGAACAAGCTCGCTACGGTGATCATGCTCGACACCGTGTGCCCCAAGCCGGGCCACCTACAGCTTAATCACGAAGCTGGGATGTGCAAATCAGTATCCTTTCATGCCAAAGCGTTGAGCAACGTGCAGTGTTTGAAGCATCGATGGGCAGAGCACGTTTCCAACACCTGTAAGATACCTCCTCAGGACTTGCCTCCGGAGCAAATCATGGGCAAGCCCGAAGAGGACCGGATTTAATAAGAACAAGAAGACCAACAATTGGTGCCAGAACTCTGCATGTGTCCCTGGTGGCAGCATACGTAGCAAGAGAGATGTCGCCACAAAACGATGAGCAAGCCAAAGCAAATTGGAGGAACACTCTCAATACAGCAATGGTGATCGCGGAAAAAATCACAGCGGGGGCAACGCGTGATTGGTTTCTAACGAAAATACGGCCTTTGTCCACGGCCTGTTCGGCCGCGACATCAGGAGCCAATTGCGAGAATGGGTGACTCGGTGGGGCATTGCATGTATCCAAAGCGCCCAAAACCTGCCATAACCTGCCGCACGTGCCAGTTCCAAAGTTCAAGACTTGCACTTCATCGGCAGAGTGCCATTGTACCCACTGCGGCCGCTGTCACAGATTCAAGTTCATGTGTAACTTTTCATGGTGCAGGACCTCAACTTGCTATACCAGCAGGAGCTGCAGAACAATGAGAGAATTCTCAATGCTTATGATCCGACCACGCATGGACAGCCTGGGACTGAGACTCTCCGCGTGGTGCTCTTCAAGGCCCGCAGCACTGACCTCACAGAGCAGAGCCTGAAGGGTGTCGGTGACACATTGAATGGTTGGCGTTGGCTTTTGCCGGAAGTCTACAGTGTGCCTGGCTCTCATTTCTCCCTGTGTGACACGTACTATGCTGAGCGAACAGCTTTCGCGATGCAGTATGTGCTCAAGCAGGAGCCGATGAAATTGTCAAGCATCGAAGACCTTTGGCATCACGCTGTCCGTCAGGGTGACGAGTACCTTTACAGTAGCCTTGCAGAGGCATACCCGTCGATGGACTTGCAGTCCAGATGGAACAGTGCATTGATGTCGGCCTCGGAGAATGATGATATTTCTCTCATGGTGGATCTCTGCAAGAAAATGCATGATGCAAGGATTGAGACGGAGCTTGACGGGGCCCTGGAAAAGGCCAGAGCAGCAGAGAATCTGCAAGCCTTCACCTACCTGGATGCCTTGAAGCGATTCAAGCATCCACCAGGAACCAAGCTGCGCATGTGTGGCGAAAACAGGAAGCAGTTGCAGATCTTCTCCGCACCTACTCGTTGTTTCGAGAGGAAGCATCAAGCTTGGCTGGGTACCCTGGCGGCTCTGAACGCCTCCGGGGCTGCTTCCGAGGGCTCAGAAGGGCCCCTTGCGGAACAACTCAGCATGCTCAAGAAACGCTAATTTATGAAGTGGTGGCAGCTGTGCTGATTGACAGTTCAGACAGTGACTCTGACAGTCGTGTGCACGTGCACTGGTTGGCGCACCGCACTTGATGGTGATGAATCTTTGGAACCTAGGGGCAACTACTTAGCCGCAATCAGGCTTAGCACACAACAGAAAGTGGTGCGTTGCAGCCAGAATTTGTACTTCGACTTCTGTTTTGCAGGCAGTCCCTGCTTAGGTCCCTGCTTAAGTGGCAACAAGTCAAAGGCTTGGCTTGGAAAGCAGGTAGAGACTTATAAATGTGACAAACTCAGGCTGACAAAGCCTTATTCATCAATCATTCTGACCATGGTAATGTGCACAAGCGCTGCTTTTCGATGTGTTTCGTACGCAGAAGCATTAGGCAGGCCCAGAAATGCTCTGCATCGCAAACGGTGGTTGACGTGGAAAGCAGCGTGTTAGCCCGGGGGCTCTGTGCCGTCGAACAGTACGGCTTAGACGAGCTCGCATGCATGCAAAAGTGCACTGCAAGCTGAAGCTTACGTTGTGCTTCCACTGCATAGCACAGCCTCTTAAGCACATGTTGCGCCTGCAGACGACGCAACAACCCAGCCTGGTTCGAATCCTTGTCTTTCAGGGCTCTGCCTGATCTTCTCGTCTGGCACTCGGAGCATTGAGAGCCGATGTGTCCACGTGCACGAGAGATTCTTCCTGGGACTGAGGTATCCCTGCAAGCAATGGCACCAAAGAAAGTCATGAAGTCAGACGCTCCACTCAAGAGGCCAAAGCTAACCGCCAAGTTGGATGCCAAAACATTCGGCCGCTGCTACGAAGCTGCAAAAGAGCCGCTTCCTTCCCCAGGCCCCTGCTTCTTTTAGATGTCTGAACATCCAGGGCTTTTCTGAGCTGCAAAGCCTAGACCTGATCGATTGTGCCCTAGCCCGCATCACGACAGCTTCCGAAATCGAGGTTACTGGGAGGTGAAGGAGCTGACCGACTTCTGCCGTGAGCAGGGTCTTTCAGTGACAGGCTTCAGAATGTGTGTCCAGAACTAGGGCTGGGGTCTAGGGATCACCATTTGATGAGTCTGAGCTCTTGCGGAAAGCACGCTGAACCTGATCCGATAATCGGAAAGTTTGCGTAAGTGAATGCAGCACGAGTTCAGGACTTCTCTTAGAGGGCCTTGTGGTTCATCCAGCAGTTTGGATATACTTGCAGTCTTCATCTCTTGCCCTAGCCCGTCTCAGGCCTGAAGGCTGATAAAGCTCGCCGTGTGGAGATCTTTTTGCAAAGCGGCAGGAAGGAAGCCAGCTCTCCGAGATCATCTAGCTCGGGCTCCCGGGACAGCGCGCTTCCGGGCGGGATTACTCTGAAGACCCCGGTGCGCAACTACAACAATGACGCGATCACGCGAACATTTTTTCAAAAGCATTGTGGGGAAGGGTTTCGATTCAATGACTACCTCCGTGGCTTTGCCAAAGCTGTACCAAAAGGCAAGCCCGTGACTTATGGGGATTTGGTCAATGGCTGGAAGGCAGCCGAGGACAAGCGTGCTCACGGAATGACACGTATCGGAAAGCAGTTTGAGTACAACCAGTTCGCTCGAGATTTCTTTGCAGCAAATGCATCTAGCGGCCGGCAGGATATGATGTCTGCTTGGAAGACAGTGCGCAGCTTCCAGGGTCCCAACACATACAAAGAGTACAAGAAGCTTCAGAAACGAAAGGCCAGCTGAGTCAAGCACCAAGCCTGAGAGAAGGTTCCTGCAGTGTGGCGAGAAATGATGGCCGCTTTGTCTGCCTTTTCGCTCGAGCTGCCGCATTTTTTACGACTTGCATGGTTCCAGACTATGTCGCCTCAGCAGTCAAATCACAGGTGAAAGTTGCACGAGCTCTAGGAAAACATTTTACCTCCAAGTGTCCTGAGGGCCTGATCATCATTTCGGCTCGAGACATCTCAGGGCCGCCTGCCAATTCTCGTATTTCCCTGCTGCCGCCGTGTCCCCAGCACTGAGCAGTTGTGATCCGCGCGGAATGCCAAGCCCAAAGCTAGACCAGCTAGGCTTATTTGCGCATCGACCTACACAAGCCGTCTCCAAGCGGTGGAAGCATAAAATGTACTCTTGTCATGCATCGCTGAGTTCACAAGCGATTAGTCTACGTCTACCCACATACCAAGGTGGGACCCCTTTGGCTGCAGGCTTTGCAGGCACAGCTAGGGCTACAGAGAGAAGTAGACTTCAACTCTTCTCCGCATGGCTGAGGGTTCCAGCTGTGTTTCTCGTCGGGGGTAGGGTCTAAGAGCTAAAGCTTGGCATTCCCGGCTGTCACATCTTCATGTGGGCGTACAGGTCTAGTTTGCCGGCAATTTCTCTGTCAATTGCCGTTTTTGCAGATTTTTCCCATCCATCATGTACAGTGATCGTGATTATTCAGTCAGAACTCCCAAGGGTTGACGGTAGCGTCCCAAACTGTGGCATGGTGTGAGTGGATGGTTCACTGGTCTCATACTGCAGATGCGCTGATTTGTTTCCTTGATGCCACCACAGACAGAAGTATAGGATACACTGCTCGTGGACTTCTCAGGCGGTAGAAGCATGCTTGGGCACACATGTGGGGGCATGGCGGGCATCTGTGCGTCGACGGGAGCGGCTTGTCAGCTGGAGCCTCACACCTGGAAGCTGGGCTACTGCATCTCAGCAGTGCGCTGGGAGCAGTTCGAGAAGCGGGATGAAGCAGAGCTTCGCTACCGAGGGCTCTGGTCCTCCAAGGTGCTCATGAGCCCCGAGGGTGAGGTGAAGCTTTGCTCCTCGGCTCTCGTGGATCCCAAAGGTCTTGGGGTGGCGATGCTGCTACTCTCAGCTAAGAGAGACTTTGAAGATGTTCAGCCCCCTCATGCTGCCTTGGAGAATGGAGATGTGCCGTTTATTCCAGCTGAACGGTTGCCGGGAATTCCGCAGGCGCTACAGCTTGTCTGGGACATGGTTGCTTGGAGAAGGTCCATCAGTTGGTTTGGTTCACGCGTTTCGGCGGATTCGCTCTGTTATTTCGATGTTGAGAGGCATCCGGGCATTCGGGGCTACGTGGCGCTGACCATTGACGATGCCCCATGCCGTTTGGGGCCAAAGAATTCCATGCTGCCTGAGATTCGAGCGCTTCTGAAAGAGCATCAGGCACAGGCCACCTTCATGCTCCTGGGGAAGTTTGTTTCTGGTAGTGAGAACGACCTCCTTGACCTTTTAAGAGATGGACACGAGCTGGGGAATCATGGTCTTGTGGACAAGAGCTACTTGGCCTCCTCTGCAAGAGAGTGTGAGGAGATGATAGACGAGTGCTCAGAGCAAATTCGCGACTTGCAGCGCCGTGCGGGGATTTCTTCCGCATTTCGCTGGTTTCGGCCTCCTCATGGCCAGATGAGCTCCCCAATGGCGGAAATTGTGAAGCACAAGGGCCTCAAAGTTCTGATGTGCGACGCCTATGCATGCTGCCCTGTGATTCAGGATGGTGACTTCATAGGCCGTTTTTTGGCGAGGCGGGCCGAGCACGGCTCCATCATTCTACTGCACATGCCCGAGCACGGCTTTCGCGAGTCTGGGCCATCTTCAGGCATGTTTTTGCGTGTGTTTGCGGGTTTCAATTCTCGTGTTCGCTGGGAGGACCCTTCCCTCATTTCGCAGGTGCTTTGAGGTTACGTTGAGGGAGCAGCTTGCGGTTTGGGGCTTCAGGAACCCACCACCCCTGCAAAACCCAGGAATGGTGTTGGCTCGGCTTGCAGACTCTGCTTCGGCAACTGCAGGCGCGCGGCCTGCAGGTGGTAACTGCCGGGAAGCTGGCCGAGCTGGCCGGGTGGAGCCCAGACAGGGTTTAGAACAGATATTCCTGCAAAAGGGGTTGTGAAGGATTTAGGTCCTCAGGTCTTGGTGTCTAGAGTTTGGGCTTCAGGCTTTGAGGGTTTCAGGGCTTCAGAATGTTTGCTTCGGGTCGTACATAAAGATGCAGTGAAACCCAGTGCCGACAATGGCGTTCTGGTTTTCGGTTGCTGGAGTCCCATAAGGGAGCAAAGGAATCCGGCACGTCACTGTCTCACAGCGAGAGCAGGCATGCGGCCATCGTTGAGTCTGGAAATGCTAGATCAGACTTTTGGACGAAGTGTCCAGATTCTATAGATTTCGGGGGTTTCAGCGAGCCAGTCACTAGTCATCTTAGAACACGGAATGCGCTCGAGCTATGACGTAGTTCCGTACCAGGTTTACTTGGGTTGTCTTTAGTTCTCACCGAGGCGAAGATGAAGATGAACAGTAGAACCAGCAACGGTATGGGCAACGATGCTAAGTAGCATTGTTGACACTACCGAAAAAAGTTGAGGACAATCATACATGTGAAGATTCTTTTGTAGTAACGGCAATGATGTGCGAAGCCGCTTAATTACACTGTCCGTACTGACAGCAATAGCATCGCCACTACTAGCAACAAGCCAGTAGTTGTATGGGTGAAAGGGACATGTGCCGGCTGCATCAGGGCAGGGAGAGTAATGGTAGTAATAGAAGCACAATCTTTGACACAGCACGCTAATTGCCACGGCAGTTCTCATCGTGATTTTTGTCGTGGGTGAGGGTCGGGTTGAGAGCCAGCACGTCGACCAGGATGAAAGGACGACGATGTTTTCCCTAGCCGATCCACTGGCTTGCACTGGTTTTAGACAAGGCCAGATGGACAGGATCCACCGGCAAAGCCCGCACAGAAGCCGAGAAGCTCTGCTAGAAATCCTGAGCCCGGATGCCCGAAAGCCTGAACCCTCAACCTCAACCTAACTCGTCTCTCTTCGGCTTCCGGAGCCCTGCAATGGCGTCGGATCTGCACTTTGAGGCAGATGGCTATGACGACAATTGTGTACCTCTCTGCGAGCAAGGGGTGTCGGGTCTGACACACGGGCTGTGGCTTATTGGGGGGGGGGGGGTCCCTAGTGTACCGCTTACTGAGCCTGCCGGGCCTAGTCTTTCGGTCTTCCCTGTCCGTTGGCTCTTGGAGCAGTGAACTTGTGAAAGGATCGGACCGTGGCTGTAGGATGCTTTGCTTGCATAAGGGATCCGGGGCTGGTCGGCGTGGCATCACGCCGTGGGGCTGCCTTGAGAGGCGATGATTTTACATCTTCGGGGCACGGCAGTCAAGCCAAGGTACTTCGGGACTATATCCAGAACTGCGACAACAGTGACGGTGGCACTCCAGTGGATTGCTCTAAAGCTATCAAGGTCTACATCGACATAGTCGCACATGAGCTGAAAAATGTGGATGATCATCGTGAGGAGCTCTTTGGCAAATGGATGGCGCTGCGTCTTTCAGAGAGGGGTTCCTGTAGGCACGCAGCCCGTCTCGACCCAACTATCACAGTATCCGAACTGTTCTTTCTTGTTTGTTGTAAGGTGTAATGTTCTGAGTTTTCACGCAAGATCCAAGATTCCAAATGGTCTTCATGCTGAAGCTCAGCTGGCTCGATCCCGACCTTAAAAACTTCAAGTCAAGCATCACTGTTCGGGACAGAAGCGGTTTCACCAAACTTCATCTGCGCCAGTTGAACGTTGTCATCACGAAACTGTATTGCAACGGCGACATCGAGTTCATTGATTTGTCGGACCTTTCACTGAAACGTCAGCTCCGGCGCAAGCATGATTATTTCAGCATTCAGGATCCAGAGTGGAAGGAGTATTTCTTCCCGTCATATACTTTTCTTAATATGCAGAACGATGCTGTGCAGCCTTTGGAGACCAGAAGGCTGCTTTGGTGTGGTGAGGAGGGAGGTTTCGTCTCTTATACGGTGAAGTACGACGCGAAGTTCAAGACGAAGCTGGATCTGAGAAGCTTTCCCAAAGATCTTCAGCTGTGCAGGACGGTGTCGCTTTCCAAACTAAGGGCTTAGTACCCTTCCCGGCTGTGCATTCTTGCGGCTTCTACCACTTAAGGCAAGTATGTTGACAAGCCGACAGGCTAAAGCTTCTGCCACCGAGTCAGCAACCCTCGTCAAAGCTTGTAAACGAGTGCCTTGTAGCGACGACTGCATTTGCAAGTGGCTGCACAAGGCTATTGTAGCAAGGGGGCTTATACGGCTGCACGCACAAATGCATTTCTGGTCATGCAACCAGCCGGCAGGTCCAACCACGAGAGTACGACATGGTGCTGAACAGCCTCAAGAACTGGACATGATACGATCTTTGTGAACATTTAGACATTTATATTAAGATATGTGTATGTTTATATATATATATATATATATACGTACATATGCATGTGTGTGTGTGTGCGTGTGTGCGTGTGTGTGTGTGTGTGTGCACCGTCCTTGGTTGTGGACAGGGGTCGTTCCCCGCTGTCGTGCAACTTGCCACCTTCGTTTTGTGATCCCCTTCAGTCTACCTTGCAATCTACCTGCAACGAAGTGACGGTTGTGGATGGGATGCTCAGCCTGATCAGCTACGTCCCGCAGAAAAGCAGGTGGCACCAAGATAAGCGGTTTTCCAACATCCACGAATGCAATCTGAACAGTGACGACATGTCACACCAGCCTTGCATCCTCTAGCACGAACGAAGTCATCATTCCGGTCAACCTGCACGTGTGTGCACACTTGCTTGTGTGTCCTTGGGCACCATCCCTTGAAATGAAAGGCCACGAGTGCAGCGGAACTGCTAGTGGCTGAAAGGGTCTTTGAATGCTCGCGCTCCCACACCTGCACCATTCATGAGTGCAGGATTCGGCTGACGGCCGAAAAGACCGTCGACGAGTTCCAGCAGCTTGATGGCCTGGTTCAATTTGAGGGCCTTAATGGTTTTAATGGGGCTTTGGGGTATATTGCAGGAGTTGCAAGTCTTTCGATCCCTACTAGTATATCATCTAGAAACTCCAGGTCTCTTATCCCTCGAAGTCCTCAGGTTCGTGCCGCTGGAGAGTTCGGCCCGTCCGCAGATGTGTGACATGTGGGTCCTGGACAAGGAGATCCAATCCAAGTGCTCGGTCTATGTTCGCCACTTGGACAGGTGCCTATCTTGTACGAAACGAATACAAGCACTGCGAAGAAACATGTGGGGTCGCAAACCTGTAAGACCAGAACGCTAGATGTCGCAAGTTTTCGAGCCTTCAATCCCCTGTAAACCCTCAGCCTTCCCTAAATCCGACTACAGCCTGCGTCGGCCGATGCGTGCAGCAGGTGCTTCCCGTACCAGTTCCAAAGGTCCTGCGTGAATGCCGTGTTCCACTTGGAGCGGAAAGGTGGGTTTTTTGAAGCTTTTCCCGGTTTCGAGTTTGGGTTTGTGGTCTAGTAGGCCTAGAGTTTCGTGCATTCTGGGTGTCGAATGGCTTTGCAGTCAGCTTCCGCCATCATGAGCAGGTGATCTCTACTTTCGCTCGATGTTCTTCATGGTGTTTCTCGTGATCATTGTGAGCCTCTGTAGTTTGATGATTCCGCTTGAGGATATCAGTGGCAGGCTGGCGCATTTGAGTACCTGCTTCTTGGCCATCATGGCATATCGCTATATAGTTGGCGACATGTTGCCGCGCAAGGAGTACCTCACGCCGGCTGACACGTATGTCATCTTTGCCTGCGGACTTCAAGTGGTCATCGTGGTCCAAACGGTCCTGATACAATATGTCGATGGCTTGGTTGCGAACTCACTACTGATCGAAAGATGTACTGGGATGGCTCTTTTGGTTGCATGGCTCGTTCTGAACTATTTCCTTCGAGGGTTCTCACGGTCCAAGCCTCAACATGACTGGAGAAGTGTGTACCAGGACCGTCGCGAACCCTACGTCCCCATGAGGCGGTGTTCACAGTGTGGGAATGCATGGCTGAGTAAGCAATGTGAGCATGGCGACCGCACGAAAGTCTGTCCAGAATGTGGCACCAAAGCCGAGACTGTCTACTTGACTCCTGTCGACCATAAACCTCTTGTGAAGCCGCAGGTATTCCCTTCTGCACCAAGCGGCTTGAAGCAGGCTCCAGCCAACATCTAGAGTATCTGACGAAGATGTACCAGCTTTGTGTGCGCCTGTGATCGGTGCATCAAGGTCCCAACATTTTTAGACGGGGGCGTTTCCCCGAATGGGATCATGCTTTCGCCGCCTACGTGATCTTGTTACGCATGTAGTCTGCTTTTTCCGCACGGAGACAGATGGTAAGGCACACTGTCTGCTGTCCCAGGACTAGGTTCTTGCCAGGGAACTTGTTTTAATTGAGCTACCATCTGTTACCATACTAGGGATCCACAGTATATAACCTTGTTTCCTTATTATGGTAACGTATATTAAATTCCCCAGCAAGAACCCAGAGGGGCATGGTCGGGAATCTGAGAGGTGGAGGGCCCAAAGATCGGCCGAGCACCGCTCAGCCCCAAGCCCCATTAAAAAAAGAGAGACGGACTTCAGGGCTTCGGGGCTGAGGGTTTTGAGGGCTTTTAGGGCTTTTAAGGCTTTTAGGGCTTTGGGCTTTTAAGGGTTTTAGGGCTTCTAAGGTTTTTAGGGCTTTTAGGTCTTTTAGGGCTTTTAAGGCTTTTAGGTCTTTTAGGGCTTTTAAGGCTTTTAGGGCTTTTAGGGATTTTAGATGGAAGAAAGCACCGTCGGAATCAGCGAGGGACAGTGTGGTGTTGCGAGCAAGCCGAATCCAGCCCGATCCAAGTCTCGTCTGTTCAAGTCTTGTCCTCAGTTCCCTGGGCACTTTCTTTCTGATTTGGCAAGCTGTGTGCTGGCTTGTTCTTTAGATTCGTATACTGGCTTGCATTTTGTCCTTAAGCCCAGAACCGTACAACCTGACTGCTGAACCTTCACATGTTGGCAGGGTCCCTAGGCTGAGGTCGGTTTCCCGTTGGTTAATGTTTTCAATCAGTCCAACCCAATGCCACTTGTTGTGATCAGATTTGCTTCAGCTGACTCGGTCTATGAGGAACCAGTGAACCAAAGACGTTACGTGAGCTGCCCACGACTGCAGGCTGGTTGACGGACAGCTTGCCGTGACACGGCTGAGGCAGCCTTGAGTTTCCAGATGGCAGCCGCAATAAAACAGTGGCAAAAAGAGAGTGAAGCAGTGTGCATGTTGCCACTTGTCGAGCTGAGCATGCCAACGAAGTAGCTTTAATATCAGTCTTGTGTCGGCACGGCGACTCACACAGTGCATCCGCGCCTATTCAATTGACGTCATTCCAACCAGCGCATGGTGAAGCTTTGCTGGCACTCCAGTGATTTGGGAGGTTTCGTGGCCTGAACAAGTGCAGAATGCATCCCATCAATACGCCGTAGCTTTGGGTGACCGGGTGTCCTCACAAGCAGATCAGTGTCATCTTGCACAGTCTGGTTAAGACGTTCTGCCTGGACACTCCCCGTTCCAGCAAGCACGCTGTGCGAAGCGGAAGAGCTTAATATGTTTAGGCATGTGAACGTGTATGACCTGCCATGGACCAATCTGCCAGCAGCTCGAGCTCCGTCACTTCGAGTTCGACTTCGCGCTCCAGCTCGGATGCACGGCTACCTCATCCTCCCGCGGTCGATGCTTTGCTAATGTCAGGTGCATATGCTACCTTAATTGGCCCCTCGTGCAGCGAGACATGCTCATGCCACGGCGGTTTCGCTTAGGGTGGTGCTAGTGTACCCCCGTTTAGCAAGCCGACGTTTCGCACAAGTGCACGGAGGGCCATCACCAGAACCGAACCATCGCCACCACAGAATGAGCTTGCCATGTTCTTTCCGATCTGTCCGGAAACTCCAAAGCCCACATGGCCTGAGACAAACACGGCAATGCTCATACGCCCAAGCAGCGCAATCGTCTAGCGGTAGAATTCCTGGAGCAGCTGTGACAAGTTGACCTACACCCTAAACACTAAACCAGTGTTGGCTTTTGCAGAGAATGGCATGCTACCGGTCTCACTTCAGGCCGGAATAGCCCCTGAGGGCTACGAGAATGGTGTGCCTCTTCTGATACAGTTTTCGTGCTTTTCGTGTGTGGCAGACCTTCGTGTCATAGTCATTGCTACCTCTCTTTCTTGCACTCAGGTTTTTCAGAGATACACCCAGAAGTGGACAGATACAGGCGGAGGGAATGAAGTGGATTGCTCCAAGGCTATCAAGGCGCGACACTCTCAAAATCAGACCTTTGCTCCTAAATCTCGCAGCATTGCATCCCTCGCCTCGAGTCAAGAACCTTTGAAGTACCAGAATTGGGCAGGTCTATGTGGACATAGCTGCACATGAGTTGAAGAGCGTCGATGACAACAATGAACAGCTTCCTTGGCAGAAACACCATCGCATCACTGTTTCATTTTAGAGACCGTAGTCATAGGCATACCATGGAGGCAAACCTAGTTGATTGTGGTACTAACTTACTATATGGTGACAGATCTGGTGATGATAGTCAGTAGTAGTCTAATCAGGAACGGGTTCGGTGGTGGTGCTTATGCGGTTCCATCTCAGTCAAGCTTGATCGTTGTTCTTGTTGCTAGAACGACGAAGCATGTGCAACATGATAGCGACAAAAGGTGTTGCCAGCGCCAGGGTACAGACGGACTGTTTGAGCAACAGCTCCCAAGTGCGATGTAGCCTTCTTTCGACAATGCAATACTGCTAGACATAGCAAATGATTCGCAAGCACGCCTAGCAGCAAAAAGCAATCACGATGCTGACAGATATACAGCATCGTTTATCTTAGTAGCAGCCACTAAGCACATGAAAAATCTCATGAAAACAAGACATCGTGCCAGTCGCTGTTGAAGCACCATTGTTGCTAGCCATACAATCTTTTCACTAGCACCGATCCTTTCAATGCTCCACATCGTTTTGATTTTTGTCGGCAGTAAATTCTCGTACTAGCGATCCGAACAACATCAATAGTATTGGCAGTACGAAAATCTCGCAGCAGCAGCAGCAGCAGCGGTGGCTGCCTGTGCAGCCACTGCCGCGAGCCACACCAGTCTCCAGAGAGCTTTCTGTTGAGACGTAGTCTGCTGCAGACGCCGAGGTTCCACATGGTGTTTGTGATGAAACTAGGTTGGCTGGATCCCGACCTCAAGAACTTCAAGTCTCGGATAAGTGTTCGAGAAACGAAGGGCACCTCAAGTCTTCATTTGCGCAAGCTCGACGTCGTGATCACCAAGATGTATGCCAATGGGGACGTGGAGTTTATCGACCTGTCCGACCGGAAGCAGCGAGTCCAAACCCTCCGGAAGGGTGAGTATTTCGGAATCCAGGATCCAGACTGGAACGAGTATTTCTTTCCATCCTACACCATCCTGAACCTGAAGCACGGTGCAGACGCGACCGTGGAGACCCGGAGGCTCCTTTGGTGCGACGAAGCAGGCGGCTTCACTTCATATCGCATACGCTTCGATGCCAAGCTGCAAGAGAGAATGGACCTCCGGAACTTTCCGCGAGACCGCCAGCTTTGCAGGACCGGACCAGGGGAGTCGAGACAATTTTTCGGGGTGGCGGCTTTCTGTCAATTTGACATGCCCCGTGTTCTTGCCAAAGTGTCGGCACCTGAGTGTGCTTGCCCCCGTTGAGAAGCCAACCGAGCGAGCAGGGAAACGCCAGAAACCGCGAACCAAGAATAGATGGAGGGCAGAACAAAGGCACGTCCTCTGTCGTTTTGTCAGCTCCCGGTGTCCGCACGAGGATCAGGATGACAGCCGAAAAACCTATTGAGGAGTTTCAGCAGCTTGCCCAGCCTACGCAGTACAGTGGTTTCAATAGGATTTTGGGCAGACTGGCCTAGACATTGAACCACTTAACAGGTTGCCGTTGATTGACGAATGCATCGGCATGCGAGGTTTGTCGTGCTCAAGGGCGAGAAGGGCATCAGCCAGATGTGCGGTATGTGGCAGCTGGATGGGGGCACTGTTTACGCACGTCACTTGGACAGGTGGGGAGTGAAGCTTCAGTTCAGAGTCTATCTATCCATGTGTCTATCTAACTATCCATCTATCTATCCATCTATCTATCCATCTATCTATCTATCTATCTATCTACCTACCTACCTATCTATCTATCTATCTATCTATCTGCCTATCTACCTATCTACCTATTTATCTATCTTTCTATTTATCTATCTATTCATCTATCTATCTATCCATCTGTCTATCTGTCTACCTATCTATCTATCTATCTATCCATGGATCTATCTATCTATCTATTGACCCATCTAGCTGTCTATCTATCTAACTATCTATCTACCTATCTATCCATCTATCTATCTATCTATCCATCTATTTATCCATCTGTCTATCCATCTAACTAACTAACTATCTATCTATCTATCTATCTACCCGTTTATCTATGTATTTACATATCTACCTATCTACCTACCTACCTACCTATCTATCCATCTATCTATCTAGTTATCTACCCACCTAGCTACCTATCTATTTCTCTATCTTTCTAGCAAGCTATCCATCTATCTATCTATCTATCTATCTGTCTATCTGTCTACCAATCCTTTTTGTTTGTCGATAGATGCATTTTTCTATATATATATACATATATATATATATATGCACATAAGCACATGTGTGCATGCATATTTATATATACATATGTATGTACAACTGTGAATGAATGTATGTGTGTATGTATGTATAGGCATTTACATATGCAGATTATATTCATACGAATATATCAAAGCTAGTGTAAAAAGGGCTCCTGACTTGGGTCCATGTGCCGTGAATGTTTGGGACCACTTTGAACTCTTGTTCCACTTTTAACAGAGCTGGTGCCAGAAAGAGTGTCAGACATATTGTGAAGCAGTCTCCTGCGCAAATCAAAACTGTTCTTGTAGTCAGCTATGCTGAATCCGGGCTTGGCGCAGGTACCTGCCATTTCCGAACCAGCGTTCTTGCGTGAACGCCGTGTATCACTTGGAACGGGACGGTGGCAACCCTTGGCTTTGATTTCATTCTGTGATTGGCAGTTAAAAACCGTGCGGTGCAGGTAGTCAAGCAAAAGTGTTTGAGTATCTCCTTCTGATGGCAGGTGAGTACTACTTGAATGGCGTGCTGCTCTTAATCTTTCTGGTGAACATCTTTAGCCTGTGTACCTTCTGCATCCCACTTGACGATGTGAGCGGACGACTGAAGCATTTGAGCACCTGCCTTCTCGCTGTCTTTGCATGCATGTACGTCATCAATGACAGGCTACCGCGCAAAAGGTATTTCACAGGGGCTGATGCATACATTATCTTTGCGTGCACCTTTCAAGTGCTTCTTGTTATTGAAACGTTGTGCCTTCAACTTTTCGGATTCCTGGAAAGTCCAACGTTGACTGACCGACGTGTTGGTTTGGCGCTGTTGACTGCATGGTTGACCGTGAACTGCTTGCTGCGCTGGCTGTGGAGGCGTGACACTGACAAGAAAGCAGCCTGGCAAACCGTGTACCAAGCCAGTCGTGAGCCGTATGCTCCAGTCAATGAGTGCTCAGAATGCGGAAAGCAGTGGCTCAGCAAGCAATGTGAACACAAGAGTCCCACGAAACGCTGCTTTAACTGGCCAACTTGCTATGGCAAAGATGGCAGCATCAAGACCATCTACAAAACCCCTTGGGATCAGGAAGTCCCTCTCGTGGCCGCGCAAGACTTCCCCAATGCGCCATTTCATTTGATTCAAGCTCCTGCCGGAACACAGAAGTGACGATGTCAGATGAACCCCGAACGCTAGGAAGCTGGATCACTGAAGGTGGTGGAGATTGACGAAGTATCACTTTTGCATCTCCACGGTTTTCGAATTTGTCGAAGTTCTGTTGGAGCAACCTTGCTTGAGCAGATGGGTGATGGATGATTGCATCCAGCGCCCCACGAGGCATGCAGGATCCCAAGGAGGATCTCAGCAACGGCAGGCCGGCGTGCGTGGGCTTGGCAAAGCTGTCGCACCCTCACACACTCGCGCTCCAATCCCTGGAAGCCAGACCTTGCAAAGAAGTCGAAGCGCGTGCTCGCTGACCACAGGGCCGTACAATCGCTGTTCTGACCCATTACATAGATTGCTGACCTCGAAGGCATGTTGGGATCCGCCAGGTCATTCACATCATTGCAGCATTTCGAGGTCTTTTGAAGGCATCGGCAACGCCATCGCACCGGATTTGCTAGCTTTCTACGACCCGCCAGGCTTAAAAGCATCAGAGTTCCGCATCTCAAGCTGATTGACTGTGCATCTCCAGCAAAAGACCTGCCTCAAGCAGGGAATGTTTCTGATCTGGTGATTCCAGGGGTTGACATGAAGCTGATACGAATCCTACAGCTGCCTTGCAGGGTTCTGGTTGGATTTTCGGCTAGGGCTTCAGGGCGCACACTATGGGTTTTGTGCAGGGTTTCTTCACGCCATGCTCACATGTTGTGGGCTGTAGACGGAAATCGACTCTGTGATCATGACTGCTGAAAGTTCTTGCTGAGCCTCTGTTTCATGCATGGAGATTTTAGAAGTGCCTGCGTAGACCTGTGACGCAAGTAGAAGAACCGACGTACCAGAGACTGCAGCATCGCAACTGTGTTTGTCGATTGTCGTAGAACACGAGGAGTGGACGCTGGGCCAACCATGGCGCTGCAATCACTCATGGTCTCTGCGGGGCAGTCAGTCCCTCACACTGGTGGCTGTGAGCCAGACGTAGTTGACTCTTCGGACGTCTTGAACCCCTCTGACCGTCAAAAGGCCTTCGTCCTCATTGTCGGGGGCGGCATGGCATCGCATTGGGCTTCTATTTGGATATTTGAGGCGAAGGCAGATATTTTCTCAGTAGAACTGACTGCAGTGGAAGACACGACTGGGTATCGGTGGCGCCGAGCCCGTGGCAAGATGCGCCATTTGCTGTCCCCCAGTTCCACCTGCATCGGTGCGACATCAAACACTACACAAGCTTTTTTCGAGTCGACAGCAACATCAACTGGCTGGCCTTTTCCTGTTGGTTTTGCAAGGGAAGCAAGCGCCAACCGGGTTCAGGACGAGGACAGCGAGTACGATTGCTTTTTGCCTTGCACGGATTCTCGAGCCATGCTGCATGCGAAAGCTGGGGCAGCGGTGGACTACATTTGCAGCAGGGCTTCCGCCGATTCTTGCATGGCAGAACAACGCGACCGTGTCCAAGAATGCATCGTCAACTTCATTGCAAACGGGGGAGGGTCCAACTATATCATGACAGGAGACCTTGTATCTGAGACGAGGAGCGGAGTGATCGAGGTTGAAACCACGACGCCCTTTCAACTGTACCACCGTTCGCAGCAAGTGTCGCTCCACGGATCCTTCTACGATCTTCTCTTTCACAACTGCCAGCTATACATACTCCAGCTGATGCATGACAAGTACAAGGTGGAATTCTCGCAGCTGCCACGGGCTGTAGGAAGTGTTGCGGCCGGTCCGCTCATGCTCACTTTGGAGGTGATTTTCATGGCCGTGTTCTCAGGGCTGGAGCAGGTGCACGCCTCTCTGGCTGTGTCTGTTGGAGTCCTTTGGATACTTGCGGAGATGCGTGCTACATACATGTACGAGCACAGCGACGGGTTCTGGAACGGCATTTTAGCTACCATTCTCATCCTGATCTACGCTATGTTTGACGAAAGGCACCACTTGGCAGTCACCATTCCAGTGCTCAGTTTGTTGTGGGATGTGTGCATGGTGAAAGAGGCGATGCTAGTCAACAAGGTCTATGAGAGCCATTGGTTGATGCTTCTGAACGCATTCTGGGTTCTTTTAGCCCTGGGCGTGGTTTGTCTCTTGCAGGTGCTTCGCGGATGGCCGGTTGTAGACCTGGTGATTTCAGGTGCCCTTCCGCAGCTTTTGCTGCTAGCTCGGGGAAACCGGCGAATATTGACATTCATGTTTGATGAGTTTTTCCATGCCGACATTCTGCTGGAGTCGTTGATCGTTCTCTTCAGGCTTAAAGAGCCCCCTGCACACAAGCTGGAAGATTGAAGGAGGCCGAGAGGTAGGCTCGCGTCACTGCAACAGCGCCCCGATGAGATGCTGCAACAGCGTCGCGGCCGCAAAGTTGCCGAGCATCGGCCCAACAAGCTTTTTCTAAATTGAGGTTTGTAACCAAACATATCTAGATGACCCACTTATTCCACTACCTACCAAGTCCCCTGATCCTTTTTGTATTCAGACGCCACGCTGCATGGGGCCCTCAGTGCTAGAACAGGGTCCCTTTGAAGCGTTCTGTAAGGGCTACTATAAGGGCCTTTATAATGCAGCAATGACGGCTGGCGCCAGCGCGGAAAGGAGCTGAAGTTTGCAGTTGGGTGGGACCCCCGTGTTGTTTGAAACGGTAAGAGCCGGGCCCAGAAAAGCGAGAGCATCAACCACCCTTCTACAACAGTGTTGTGCTGTTATTGGTCCCGAAAACCTAAACCCGAAACCCTAATTTGTTGAATTAGCCATAACGAAATCCTCACATTTATTGGGCCCAAGCTTTTCCTTTAAAGGATTTTAAGGGTTCCTTGAAGGGCTCGTCCTTGGGTTCCTTCATCATGCCCGTTTGAAATGTTAGGGCTTGGAGTTTCCAGTCTTGAGCTACTGAGAGCACTTAGTTGCTGGCGTGCTGCTTGCATCGCACGAGAGTAGTCAAGTTCAACGTCTAAAGGGTGTAAAGGTCTGCAAACCATTTGCGACTTGTAACAGAACAACTTTGGTCCGAAACTTGCGAGATTCGGGAGCTTGCCAACCGGCAGCTTTTCCGGCACCGGAACATCCTTCGAGAAGTTGAGTGCCTTGAACAAGTGCAACACCCATGTGCAGCATGTACATGCGCAAGCTTCACCTTTCAACCTCAGGCGTTTTCACGACCGTCCCTCCGCCTCTGTTGCACAGCATCTTGTAGACATGTGGAGGGTTTAGGATTGAGGGTTTAGTTTAGGGTTTTGGGATCTGCAAGTTACTACTGCTTTATGCAACAGTGCCATGGCCACAAACGCCACCCGCGCGGGAGCAATTCCGTCATCTCCGCAGGTCGGCCTTGTGATGCTTGTGGATCTCCACACCTTCTCAGCCGACCCGACCTGCCTCCACTATCGGTAGAACTGCTGAAGTTCTTGCAGCTTTCTGACAGTACATAAGCAGAGGCCTCCTCCCATGCAGGTAAGAAATCCATCTGGTCAGTCCAAAGAGAGCCTTGTAGCAAAAGCCATTTACAAACCGAACCACAGTATTACAAAGTGTGATGTGATATCATACACCATGGAGCGAACAGGTGTTGTAACACCGTGCGACATGTCACCCGGATCTGAGCAGCTAGAGGTGCCCAAGCTCAAAGTAAGAGCCGGGGGCCTGGGATCATCCCGATGTTGGTGTTCCAGCAACAGCAGAACAGCAGGAATCAACGGGGCTTTCTTTCAAGATGTATACGTCTGTTCAGGTTCGCCGTTTCGCATGCTGTCCGGACCCTCGGCATTGCGTGTCAGAAGTACTGAAGTAGTCATGGGATGGCTCTCCAGTAGAGGAGAGGCTGACGGTTTCATCAGTTGCTGTGTCTTCATGTCAGGCTCTGGCTTGTGCCTGTTTCGCAGAAATGTCTGTAGCCTGCGCTGCAATTTCTCTTGCATCGTGTTACGAGCACGTCATACTGTGCATGGACACTACAATGGCTTCGGCATCCTTGTCTTGGCAATCCGCAGCTTCGTAGGACTCTGGGAGGAGCCATGTCGTCAGTGCATCCTTTCATGGCCCTGACTGGGCGGTCTGCTCCAAATGCTCAGCACGGCCAAGAGCCAGGCTTAGTGACACCAAAGTCGCCGTCTTCTATTCATCTACTGCGGAATCACGAACGTCAGAAGGCGTTCGTGCTGATTGTCGGGGCCGGCAAGGCCTCGCATTGGGCTTCTCTGTGGATGTTCGCAGTTTCAGGAGAAGTCTTCGCGGTAGAGCTGACTGCAGTCGAAAGCAACACGGGGTATCGTTGGGGCGAATCCAACGGCAAGATGCGCCGTTTGCTACCCGCTTGTGCAGCGACGTGTGGCATTTCCAGCTCCCCGACTGCGGACTCTTGCCAGCAGACGACCTCCGTGTTCGCGGACTTTTCGGATTCGGTCGGTTTTGACCGACAGGTCAGCCGTCCCAACATGGAGCAAGAGACCAGCGAGTACGAGTGCTTGCTGCCTTTCTCAACTTCGGCAGATTCGCTGAGCTTGAAAGTGGAAAAAGTGCTAGAAGCCGTTTGCAGCGAGCCTTCGGCTTCTGGGGCTAGAGAGCAACGCGAGCTTATTCGAAAGTGCATTGTCGACTTCATCGCGCTGAGCGGACGCTTCAACGACATTATGGCAGGAGACGATAAAGGACATTACTGGATTGAAATTGACAAAACAACACCATTTCAGCTCTACCACCGGTCACAGCAAGTATCAATGAATGGATCTTTCTATGACATTCTCTTTCACAACTGCCAGCTGTACATTCTCCAGCTCATGCATGACAAGTACGCGGTGGCTTTTTCCAAGCTACCGCTCGCTGTCGGATCTGTTGTGGCAGGTCCCGTCATGCTCACCTTGGAGATCATCTTCATGGTTGCTGGGCTCTTGTCAGAGGAAGTTAGTTTAAGTTCCCACAGTAGGGATCTATAGTAATAACCAGAAATTGATATGGTTGCCTTACTTGGGTAGCTTAGTTTAGAATCCCCCAAGCAGAGCCCAGGTTGTGTTCGCAGGGCTGGAGCAGCTAGAGCCCTGGCTTGCTGTGTTCATCGGCATTCTGTGGGTGATGGCAGAGATGCACTGCACATACATGTACGATGGCAAAGACGGATTTTGGATCGGAGCCTTTGCGACACTTCTGGTCTTGCTCTATGCTCAGTTTGACAAAGCTCACCCGCTGGTGCACACGATTCCAGTACTAAGTTTGCTGTGGGACACATGCATGATCAAAGAGGCCATGCTTGTAAACAAGGTCTATGAGAGCAATTGGTTGATGCTTCTGAACGCATTCTGGGTTCTTTTAGCCCTGGGTGTGGTCTGTCTCTTGCAGCTGCTTCGCGGATGGCCTGTCTTGGACCTCGTTATTTCAGGTGCGCTCCTGCCGGTTCTGCTTATGGCTCGGAAATTGAGCATGTATTGTTTTGTGGAGTTCTGTCACGCCGATCTGTTGGTTGACGCGCTGAAAGTTCTCTTCCGGCTCGAAGGGCCATAAGATAGGGGCTGTTCAACCCGACCAGAGCCCAAAGAGGCTCGCATTGGCACCGACGCGTGCGGCAAATTGGTGGAGAAATACATGCCCCGAAACCCTACAGCATACCCTAAATCCTAAACCCCTAAACCCTAGACCCCTAAACCCCAAACCCCAAACTCCTAAACCCTAAACCCTAAACCCTAAACCGTTTCGTGAATCACGGAGACCGTCGAGGCTCAAAAGGCTCCGAAACGGGTGGCTTGTCTACTCTTTTGTCTCGATGGTCCAGCCTTGACTTTGGCTTCCGAGGGTCTTGTTTTTGAAGGCCAAGTTGCTAGTCTTAGGCTTGTGTGAGAGAGGAGAGAGGTGCATGTCCATGTGTTCTTCGGAAGACACAGTCATTTACTGTTCATGGAGCCGTGGCAGTGGAGCCAGCATCCAAGCTGAAATCATTCCTGATAAGAGCCCAGGCCGCAGATGGCTCCGTCGCAGCACACCTAGGCCAAAGCTCACAGCCTGCCTTCTTAAGGCTTCTTTCTGTGTTATCTGAGCCTGGCAGCTCCTCGTCATGCCTCGAACGTGCACATACCAGGCGATGAGCTCGAAGCAGACCCAGCGACTTCCTGCAGACATCTCGTGCTTTCCCCGGAGATCGCTTGAAGAACGATGTGAAACCGTAAGTGTTCGGAGCATGATGCAGCCTACCGTGCCCCAAGTTATAAGTATTGGCTGTATTCCGTAGTGTCTTCCAGTATGACCGGAAGGGGTGAGCTTCAGCAGGGACGTCTGCGGGTCCAACAGTTAGATACTCTGGCCTCCGGTGAGAAGCTGCTCTGCAAGACTGCATGTGTCCTGACCAGTTTGTGGTGCTCTGTCTTCGCCGCGTCTATATCTATGCTCACTCCGCAAAAACGGCCGCGGCCGACAGAAGTGCCCGTAAACCCTAAACTTCCTTAGACCCTAAACCTTAAACCCGAAGGCCCGACTGCGATGTAGTAAGCCTCATCAACTGCACAAAGCCGAGGCCGGTGCTGCAGACTCGGGCCCTCGTACAGTTTTCCAGCTCTACCTCAAACATCGGTGCTTAGTGCAGTTTATTTGTTTTTGTTGTAGATGGCTTAGGGTATAGAGTTTAGGGTTTAGGTGTGAGCTCACACAGTCTAGTCAGTGGATTGCGTCTCCAAGCCGACTGCTGGACGCTTGTTATCGTTGTGCCAGGAACAGTGGCTCGAATCTGGGTTCTTATTAAGGATTTTTTCCGCTACCATACTAGGGATCTATAGCAAATAGGATGGTTTCCTCATTATGAGGACTTCAAGCAAACTCCTTAGCAAGAGCAGAGCAATATTCCGCAAGGGTGATGTTGAAGTGCAGTGGTCATGCCTTTGCTCACTGTAAGACGCAAATTTGGGGATGCACAGTCAGGCTTTGTGCCCCGGAATACAGGGAAGCTGCTTTCAATGTAACACATGCTCGAATCTGACGGTTTTGGTTTCGAGGACGCCGTTCGGGTGAGTGTCAGAAACTTGTGTTTCGATCTGCTTTGCAAGCGAGGTGACGCGCGGCGCACGACCCTGGCAAGGTGCGCTCAGGGTGTAATATGGAAGCCTGACTTTAGCACTGTGAAGTCTTTTGGTTTAGTTATAGCAAAATACCCCAAAGCCCTATTCTATAGCCTTTTGGAGCATGTTAAGAGGAATCTTCCCAGGAACTGCCCATAGTATGAGTGTTGGTGTAGTGGAGCTTGCAGCTTTCGAGCTCTGGAAACAGAGTTCAGGTCGCTTTGAAGGGAGGCTCCAGAGAGATCCTTGCTTTGAAGC